CTTCTTCCCTATAGAGGCCAATGTCAGCGGCAGCAATCGATTTATGTGCCCGCTGTGTTGTTTGCGTAGGAGCCGACCATACATCTATTCAGAAGTCCGTGTCAAGCACGTTGGTCAGTAAAATCCATTAAACGTATTGCCCACACTAACGGACCAGCAGATAACCAAGATCCAGACACGTATGTCAATACGAGCGTAATGCTGGACACCTTCAGCAAAGATGTTATTTATACGAAGATGTTACCCCCATATACTCAAACGTTATTCGTGGAACTCATACGATTTTTGCCCGGTCAGCCTGATCTCAATAACGGCAATGCGCCAGCTTCACGGAGCGTTCCAGCGCATACAATGCCTCACAGTGCTGAACCTGGACCTTCTACGCACCACCGGCATTCGCATATTCACAGCGCTCCCATACCACTTCCCACACCACCAACACCTGTTTATGAGCTTGCAAGGCAGCCATCAGCAAACGGGCATCACGTCCCACCTCCCCCACCTTGGCAATCCTACCCACAGTCACCACACAACAAGAAGCGTAAGTATGCGGATGACACTCCACAAGACAACCCGGAGCCGAGATCACCCAAGCAGCGACGCCTTCCTCAAACTCCTGTTCTCCCACCCGCAAGTGTAGCAGCTCGTTCGATGCAGCAGACGCTTTCACCTTCACTGGCCATGATTGTATCACCAGTTGACACCGAGCCTTCCCCTCGGCGACCGCCTTCGATCCCTCCCCCTTATGCTAGACCACCTTCCTCCCCGTCTCTTAACACAATGAATGGAGAAAGCTCTTCTGTGAAGTCAGTAAAATTGTTGGTTGGAAATCACAAATAGACCTCTAGTGTATTCTTTCATGCGTCATCTACGAATTTTGGTTTTGATAGGTCTATTGTGTACTTGTTATTTGTTGACCGTAGTTGCAATCGTCCTCACTACCCTGGCATGCTTTCTATGGAATGTTGATGTACGTGAATATTACATATATGAATGGGAAAAGAAGCGAAGTTGCGAATGGGAAATTGAGGACGATCCTCGAGTTCTCCCGCGAACTCGATAAAAGTCTAGGCGCAAATCACGATAACGAGATCGGGAATAACAAATGATGACAGCGAACCAGAAAGGCGAAGGTCTAGATACTGAGAACAGAATTAAAACAAAACGATCAACCCCCAATGCGTTTATCGTTTAACCATGAGTTTGTATGTGGTGTACCCGCCAATGATGCCAAAGGCTGCAAGCGCGGCAAGGATCCCAGCGAACCAGTGGTAAGTGACCTGAAAAAAACAAATAAACAACGGCGGTACGCAAATGGTGGCCTACATACCGCATCATCCTGGCCTGGGACGTGTACATTCATACCCCACATACCTGGGTGAGTCATGAGGACACAGATCATCGACGGTGAAGAGAAGGCACTGACCCGTTACCAAGTTCATAGGGATGAGAACCGTACCCAATGCCGTCAACTTCGAGAGGACATCGTTGATCTGGTTGTTAGCATCTGTCATTTCGATGGAAATCTGCGCCAAGTAGTTGGAGTGCGACCGGGACAGGATTTTTTCGTAGTGATTTAGATTTTGCGTCATGGTTATCAAGTGGTCCTAACAATTCATTAAAATCAATCAGTAGTAAATTTAGCGTCGGCAGCAACTAACCTGAATGTCGGAAAGATATAGACCCTTTTATAAAGATGAGTCGTGGCACGAATGACCTGTACCGAATAACTCACGATGTCTGACGTTGGTGCTACCCTCCAGTTTTCGTTGCATCTCTTCGCGAGCCCCTTGACTACATCCGCCTTATTACCCATCAAGCGCAGTAATCCCATGACTTTCTTGCGACATGTTCCGATCCTTCTCAACATGTCACTTTGCTCTGCCTCCTTCAAAATAAGGACGAGCTCATCGATAGAGTCCACTTCATATTCAATGGATTGGATAAGAGGTCCGAAGGCATCGGTGATGTCATCGATCAATGCATACGAAATCCAGTCTGATGTGACATTAATGTAGTCTTTGAGCTGCTTTATTCTTCGGCGGACATTTTGTGGATGTGGGGTGGGACGAAAATGGAACTAAAAGGTTCTTAAATAACACATTATAGGAAAACAGATGAGGCACTTACAGACAAAGTTCCCTCTCTAAATACAATAATGTACATGTTCAGGGGCTCCAGGTGCATGGGGCTGTAAGGATCCTGATCGAAGCTCCGGAAACAGACAAGGTAGTAGTTCCGGAACAATTCAATCTTTTCACGAGCTTCTTCCATTTGGATGTCTTCAACGGTCAAAGGGTGGATAGAGAATACCTAAGATCATGCTTGAGTTCAGAGAACCAACCGTTTGCGTGGGCAGCACCTTGCTCAGAACCTTCATCTCTTCATCTGTCGGGCTTAGAACATCTAGCCACCACGTATTCCCCTCAAGCTCGCTACCACTCCCGAGGCTATTTGGTGGGCCTGAATTACCAGCACCGCCCTTCTCCGGACGACCCCCATTTTGGTTAAATGTTGCGAAATCTGGGGGACGCTTGTTCGTGTCTTGAACAGAAGCTGCCCCTTGGTGTGGTGGAGGCACGGAAACAGGGGCAGACCCATCCTTTGCGTCTCGCGGACGGTCAGGAGGAGCCAGACCAGTAAACAAATCCTCGAAGGACTGCCCGTCCGCAGGAAGTTCGCTGAGGCTTCGTGCGTGAATAGTTGCAGACAACGCATTGGAGTAAAACGAGAATCGGTAAGGTCTGTCATGCCCAGGTGTCATGATCCCGCCCATCCCTGCAGTGTTGTACTGATTTGTTGACACGTTATCTGAGGATGGGATGGCACTTAAATGCCCATGTCCCATAAGCCGGCTTGGAAGAGTGAAGTTTGGGTCTCCGCCGTGATTCTCAAAGAGGGCCATCTTGCCCCGGGTGCTTTTCCGGCTATGCCTTGGGACAGGACTGCTCTGGCTGAGCTTGCGTTGTCGAATATTACCGCGATAAGAAGCGTCAAATGCAGCGTCAAATGGAGGAGTTCCTCCAGGTAGAGATGCGGCCAAATCTGAACCCCCGTTCTGTGGAAAGCTTGGGAGACGCAACCGGAATGCTGTGCCATGGGTATCCGTAGGTGATGATATGCCTAACTGAGTCTTTTCTTGAGCGGCAAAGGCTTCCAGATGAGCAAAGGAAAAAGCGGAACGAGATGCATTCGCTTGATACACGGGAAGGCCGGGCATGGAAGCGAGAGCTTCACTGCGAATCGGTTGATACTCGCTTGTCATAGTCGTAAGAAGCGCTGGGTCATGGGTTTGGTCAAGGTGCTGCATCCGCAAGTCAATAGGAGTTAGAGATCGTGGCGAGTGCAGCCCGTCAGAACCGCAGTTCACACCATCATGATTGATGTGATTAATTCTGTCCCCGCGAGCTATGTCGATGTCGTGTTCCTCGATAGCTGAGAAGTGAGAGAAAGGGGGCACTGTTTCAGGGTGCGGGGCCGATTCGTATTCAAGTAATGCTGCTGGAGGCGTCGTTGTAGTCTCTCTCCGGGCTCTGGACAAATGCAGAGCCATGTCTACATCCAATGTTCTCTGCCTCTCCCTCACTTCTGGGTCATTCAGATCATAAGAGGAGATAAGCGTCGGCGAGATGTGGGCTCGAGACCCAGATTCCACCACGTCAGTTTGACATTGTAAGCATTCTCTATTATCCCTTCGTCGAACAGGAGAAGCGGCTCTAATTGAAACAGGCGAGCTCGAGAGCACGGGCGGATCATGGAAAGTTGGAGAAGTCATGGGGCCAACCTACGAGGCCTGGTCAGCGAAACACGCAAATTTGTGGAGCTCTAAATGCTGAGTGCCGCATCAGATTTGAAGAAAAGTGTATGCTAATAGCTCACCTAATTGATAACCTGTCTTAAGTTAAATTGCTTAACACATGAGCCTTGAAAGACAAACCAATTTCCACTGCAGCAACTCAGTATGAAGTTGAGTGCGCTATTTGGCAAGAGGGCCTCTCATCCAAACATGACCAAATAGACCCCGCCAAGTGCCTGGTCTTTACTAACAGAGAATTACCAACAAACGTATGGAGAGGACGTGAGGACGAGGCCCTCCAGGCCTCGGTCCATGCAACTTCGGAAGCTAAGAAGATACGATATAGGAAAAGCGTTGTCAATCTACCTACCTCCTGCCAATTTCGCTGTCGGACAATGCCCACCTCTGCATCTCAGTATCTTTTAGCCTCAGCACTTGGTGAAATTATACAAGCCTCTAAACCCCTCTCACCTGAACTTCATTCACAGATTCCATATCCACTCATTAATCTGTCCACCACGCAGCGCTATCTGTTGCGGTCATTTCGCTCCACTTCAGTCATCAGCGGTAAAAATATCAAAGTCCCTTTCGAGCGCATTCCAGCTGGGATTTACATATCCCTTTCCCCAGGAGATGCTGGAAATCAATCGTCAGAGTGCTGTCATCAGATGAATCTGTAATGTGAGGCAAGACCGACACCTTCCCAATGTAGACTTTCGAACACGATTCGACGACTCATCTTCTATTTGCAGAGTACTCGATGCATCATCACTGGTCATGTGGGCGTCTTTCGAGCTCGATAAAATGCTAGACAATAGGGAAATCATCAGAAAATTAGAGATCTCACGATATGAGCTACTCGATCATGGAGATGAGCCATTCAGTGAGTAACCTGCTTCCCATTCATACAATTACTTGCGATAATCAGGACGGCGTATTGTTTGATGTAAGTACGCCGACCTTTGCATTTGATGTTGGCTTTTGTTACCAACTGCGGTCCATCATCGACTGCGAGATTGCTCGAAATGCAGATGCGGGCTATGCACGACTCGTCAAATATGTGACACGCCAAATCAAGAGGGTTACTCACCTGAATGATGCCGTCAGACGTTTTCAGTTATTCTGGACCAGTGTTTAGTCGGCCATCCTGGCCAGGAAGCAGCTCTCACCAACCTCGCATGAGCCCCCTTTTTGAGTCACTTTTATCTTTCGCGAAGCCCTTGCATTGCGTCCGCATGGCCACCCCAATCATCCTTATCCATCTATTATCTCACCGAAGTGTTGACATGGTGCTACAATAGGGTGCACACCGCCGTATATATCCACGAATCCATGCAACTGTCCTGCAAGCCATTATCCCTCTGTGCAGAGGGCACCTACCTTCGTAGCATCGTGGTAGGAGCAAATCGCGTCGATTACGTGTTCCACGAATAAAACCAACTTCTAATAGACGCATCCGATGAAGGCATCTACCTTCGACGAATCGTGCTCGAACTCTGTCCTCTTGGCAATGAACACCGTCCGAGATCGTTCGACAAGCTTGCGTGGGCCTTTGTGTTACGCCTTCAACAATGCAACAGTTTTGATGATTTAGACGAGTGCATACAATGTTGTCGTGAAGCCGTTTCTCTGCTCTGGGGTTCTGAACGCTAACTTGGCCTCGTCGCTATATTACTGCTTCTATCACCACAGCAACTCTCTTGGTCTCAACGAGGCCATTTCTTTGTACAAAGAAGCGCTGCACCTGCGCCCTGTTGTGCACAATCACCGCAGCAGAGCAGTACTATCATACATCTACATTGGAGGCCTATAACACATATTTTGACCTTCTTGCCGGTAATTTGGCAACACGATCATTGGCAATTTCACGGCGCGAAGTTGCCACTGCCTTCATCAGTGCCAGATCACTCCCTGTAGATGCGGCTTTCGCCGTGGCGATCTATGACACGCTGATGAACTCGTGGAGCAGGGTCGTGGCCAGCAGTGGTCGTTGTCCTCGCCTGAGGAAGATCTCGAGTTCACGAGTTACAACCTAGCCCACAAGTTCTCGGAGCTCAGCAAGGTTTTTGATGCTCAACGTTCCGGGTCAGCACTCTACGCAGCTCATCCCTTTCGAACGAAGGCAGACGGACGTGGGCGGGAACTATTACATCTGTTCTTACTCACCAAGACTTCTAGCTCATATGGGATCTAGACATCTGATGGAGGCACGTGTGACTCCGGTTTTCACTGCAATTGTACAAAGTAAACCGGGTGCGGGACAGGGCGAGGCGCTCTTGACTATCGATAGCGAGCTTGAGCTCGTCCCTACGACAACCACTCTCTGGCGACGACGCCACGCGAGTAGGTGCACTCAACGCTTTCCAACGCAACACCTGGGTGCACCTCGTTTGTCATGGAAAGCATGACCGCAGGCAGCCTTATAACTCACGTTGCGGCATGAGACAAACCTTTGATGCTGCTTGATATCATGGAGAACGACACTTCACACTCTGAATTCGCGTTCTTATCAGTGTCATACCGCTGTTGGCGATAAGGAGACGCCGACGAAGTCACCCACCTCGCAACTGGACTCCAGTTCTAGACCATGTTCCTTGTGCATCTGTGCAGGTGGAACATGCTGGTACTGTGAGTTTGACTCATTGCAAGAGCAGCTTTAACTTGAATCAGAAGCATGGATAAGTAAATCAGGATCCTTCGAATTTGTCACAGAGATAGCGTGGCAAAACAATTCTGCTAAGTTGGGGTTCGAACTTTATCGGGACCTAATTACTACTAAAGTCGTGTTCGGGGCAGGAAGCCTGAAGCCTGAAGAAGTCAATTAGGAATCATGAAATTTATTGGGCTATGTTTCTCCATGAAATAATTCCTGGGAATGGATACTACCACGGAAAAATTCAGACGGTTGCTGTGATAGGTTTGATTATTCATTTTGATCATCTATAGCTAGCTTACCACTTCTATTTACCAAGCTTGTGGTGCTGGAAACAGGGTCCCACCTTTTACATATTGTTCAGGCGGAACAAGGGTGGAATACCTCCCAGGATGGCTGGCTAAGGACTCGGAAATTCGCTGCTTCCGACAACCCACTATCGCACATTTGGTGGTACGTTGTGCGCCCTCAGTGGTACTCCGCCCGACCAAGGGGACCCTTTTGTATGTCTAGCTCTATATAGAAGCGGTAAGACGGACAAAAAAATGAAATCTGGTCTATCGATTAACTGTAACTTACTAATTCTCTCATGTTGATCCGAGATGAAAATCAAATTGCTCCATCGAGAAAAGGTTATAACGTAAAATAGATCAAGAATAAATAAAAATCAACCCCTGGCGGGACTCGAACCCGCAACCTCCAGATGCGCTTCATTTGTAGAAGTCTGACGTCATAACCATTAGACAACAAGGGCTTGTGTGGCAAGCGCCAAATGACTTTCATGATCCTGAGCTCGTCTTCAGTCAGGACTCCATGTAACATAAGTATCCCAGAGTAAAAGTCTCAAGTCTCGTTGGATCCGTCTAGGGTTCTGTAGCTAGCTAGCGCCGCACAAAAACCTGTTGCACGGGTTATAAATAACGGTCAGACAAATCAATTCACTTGAAGCGTGTACCAATGGTTCTGATTCTGAAGACCTCCACGAGTTGAACAATTCTGATTCGAGGATTCGGGCCGCGGAGGAGGATGACATGTGTTGTTAAACACCGTGACCATATGTGGAAAATTTGTATTGCTTTGGGACATACGGAGTAGTGAGTCATGACAGCAGTAGCATAGCAGCACGCCATGCCAAATAGAAGAATCGACGTTGAATACAGTTTCTTACACTTATGAGGATAACCAGACGGTTGCGTCGGCCACGTAACATCGACTCATGATGCCGCAAAGACTTCGAGTATTTAAACTCCCACATAGACAGCACAGAGTTACTATTAAGTAGCGAGTGCCACGTAACGTATTGCTACGTAGTGCGTGGGGTCATTACAATTACCTCGTCATCAAAAGAGAGTTCCCCGGATTCCTGCATGACGGTAAAAAAAAACGGAGCATAACCCCCTAGTGTCGGACCAAACCCGGCACCCAGTCTGCCTCGTGCTCGTAATGATCCCATGTTCTTGGGTATAAATTGCATCAGTGATTTTCCCCTTTCCTCCAACTCACATTCCTCAAACGCTCAGCGACGTCAGCGTGCTCCACACCTTTGTTTCCCTACACGCACAAGTTCACCATGGAAAGTCGGTCTGTCTATAATGTATGATCACCTTCTTTCGTAATTTCGATTGCGAAGATTGAACAGGAGATCACCAGGTGTCTCGTCGTAAGGTGTACACTCCATCATATGTATATGATGGCGCCTCGCAGTTATCATCTGTCTCATCCGATACTTTCGGAAGTTCAGACGACCACGCTGGATGCTGGTCATGGTGGGGTGGTCTCTGGCGTTGCTTGAGGTGCTGGTGACACTCTGGTCAGTAGCCTGTCATAACTGATCGCACTGAGCTGATCATACCATACTCTTCTAGGCGAAGATACACCCTCTCATATTTAAGGTTGAGCGGCTTGCTCATAGCATGGATATAAGTGGCACAGGCGGCCAACACACCATAGAGTAATCGCAATTCATTCCCGTAGCCATGCCTTGGAAGAAGGAAGACGGCGTTCCTTCGTTTTCAGGAATCGTTCTACACATAGCATATATATAGTCAGCCAATAGTAATGCACGTACCACTATTTTGTCTCATACCAACTAGGATCCTTCCGCTTGCCCAACGTAGTTGCAAACCTTCCACGGATTGGGCATCTACGACTGCTTCCGTTGCGCCAGCCACATGAAAGCCCTGCCAGTGAGGATAACGCTCATTGTTCGGCGGTCAATCTTCTATGTAGGCAAGTCATTGATTAAGAATGCATGCTGCAAAGGGGTGTTGAACATGCGTTCTGGAAAAATTCCCAAAGTCTGACTGTACCCCGAATTCTGCCGGAAAGGTTCGGATATGAAACGGAATTCATGAGCTACAAATACAATGCAGATGGTTCTACCACTTATCACTGATGCATTAGGGTCCATCTCTTGTCAGTACCGCTATCTCTACTTTTGTCCTCAAACCCCTCCAACGTGTCCTCGCCCCTATCTGCTGAGATTCCGTAACAGGTAATTCCGTCAGCACCTTCGCAATGAAGTTCGCGTCCGTCAGAGGGGTCAAATCGTGGCGACTGGGAAGTCGCTGAAGTTGACAGTTATCAAGGGATGAGTCAACACGAAAGAAAGCATTAGACGTACCCTCTTAACGCCATCATACGGTGCTTCCCAACCACTCAATTGACGTATGACTAACGAAGGGCTTGAGCTGAAAGAATGATATATCCTCGTGTCATGTGTGCGGAAAAGCACATTATCCACGCGAAGCGTGAATCGCGACAAAATGAATATACATGTTGGCATGACGCGCTTCAATTCGACCTCGTCAGATAACAAAAAACCATAGGGACAGCAGCACGAACTATTCGCACGAGAAGGTTGGATGATCCATTATCATGTAATTCATCCTCAAAAAGAGGTATTTCCGCGTAGAATAATATCGGATCTGGTCGCGTGAGCTCAGAAAGCGGAATAGAATGAGATGGGTTGTCTTGATCGGCATCTATCCATTGTATTGAAGAACTTGGCGAATCGGTGCCTGGTGCGGAATCAAGGTGATGTCCAGGATAAGTCACGGTGTAAGTCCAGTCATAATGCTTGGCTGCGACTGTAACAGGCAACGGAAGGTTTGTTCCAGGGTCTGTGCTGGTGGTACGCTCAAAATCACATTGGTAGATATCCAGCACGAATTCCTCACCGGCTTTTAAGCCAGGCATCTGCATAGCCAACCTTGACTCCACCATCGCCCTCCCCGAGCTCACCTTTTTTCACACACTTGAGGGCATTATGAGTGTCAAACATCATCTTCCACCCAGATGGCTGATGTTCGAGAGATAGATAGTTACTTCCAAACGTCATCTCAGGCAACGGGAATCCAAGCGAAGCTTGCAACGCGTCGCACTCTGACGCGCTAGATATTGGGTTGGTGGACGCGATTATCACCCAATCATTGATTTCGATTGCACGTGAGTTGGGAGTCTCTGATAGCTTGTGTTGCGGTACCGCGACTACTGAAGACATGACTTCAGTAAGAAAGTAACTTTTTGATATGATCTCCTAGGAAGTAACTGTTGTCGCCGTCGTAGCTGTCGTCGTCGAAGATGATCAACTTGATCGGAGTTTCAAAAATACAAGTGTAGTAATACTCTAATAGTCTGACTCTCAAGTACTCAAACTCGCCTAGAAGTAAGTACACTAGAGATCATGGAGGGGTCTCGTCCAGCGACACCAGAAGCACCTCCAGAAAACCTATGGTCGTCGATATTGGACTCAGTTTCATCTTCACGATCAATCCCTTCAAAACAAGTTCTGCTTCTAGGTCCTTCGTTGTCTGGCAAGTCCGTACTTGCCTCGGCCTTGCTACAGAAACCAGTTTCTGAAGAGAGCAAAGACGAGACACGGTCAGATTTCGCTCTTGGATATGATTGGGCCGATATAAGAGATGACGGCGACGAGGGTGTGCTTCACTGCTTCTCAAGTTTCTGTAAATGAAGCGTGCTAATGCCATGACTAGACACCTTGGCGCGTCTATCGGTGTACACAGTACCTTCGGATGCGATAGCTCATACTTCTTTGATACCACACTTCCTGCCTCCTCGGGTATCGCTGCCTCATACCCTTGTAATGATTGTCTTGGATTGGACGCGCCCTTGGACATTTTTAGACAATCTTCAGACGTGGCTCAAGTGGGTAGAGATATGGGCGAAGGGTGATGGATCTCGGGATCTTGAAATCGTTCGAGAAGAGAATCATGAAAGATGTATGTCCATTTGATCGAGACAATCCGATAGCTGACATTATCTTGCAGTGCAGCATCATTTACAGCATTACACTGAACCCTCCGTCGACGCAGTCCCTACCACATCTAATATTTCCTCAAATACAGTCCTACCGCTCGGCCCTGGCACTCTAACCCACAATTCTGCCGGTGTGCCGATTATTGTTGTCTGCACCAAATCAGACTTGATAGACGAGGGAAATGATCTCGTGGGCGCCAGCAGTTCCGGTATGGGCGGCATGGTGAAAGGTAAAGGTGGTGAGTGGGAAGAACGCACGGATGGCGTAATGCAGGTTCTACGAACGATTTGTTTAAAATGTAAGTTTTCTGTAAACTATATTGAGCATCTCATCACACCACTCTAGATGGAGCATCATTATTTTATACCACGCAGCAACCTAACACATTACAGGTGCTGAGGCAATATGCCCTGCACCTCTTATTTATCCCACCGGCACCGTCTCCCATGGCATCGGGATCCGAGGCTCCGGCTCCTCTACGCAATCCATTTGTCTTTCATCATAAGCCAAATCCCCTAGACCGCGATCGCATCGTCGTTCCTGCTGGTTGGGATAGTTGGGGTAAGATTGGTGTCCTTCGAGAAGGGTTTGAGGCGAAGGTTTGGGGCGAAGCTTGGGAAGCGGACCTTGATGCCGACGTGGAGTCCGAGGATAATTCAGGTGCAACAAAATTGTATAAGATGCTAGTACCAGATCGAGGCGCGAAGGTGAAATACGTTATTCTGGTAATTTGGCACACGGACCTCATCTTTTTTTGTGCAGCCACCCCCTTTACCTCCGTTTAATTCCCCCATGGCGGAGCAGGCGTTCCTTGCGAAGCATTATGACGAAAACGCCAAAAAGCCAGACCGGGATCCCCGTGGCGCTTTCCGAAATCCCACGGATACGGCCGCAGCCGGTATTGTTGGGCCACTGGGGAGCAGTAGTTTCAATCTTCCAAACGTTGAGCGTGCCCTCAGCGAGATGGAGGCCGGGATGGGAATGACCAGCTCACTCAACGCCAGCACGACCGCTGATGGGGCGCGCAGACTACCACAAAGGGCTGCAACGGGTGCAAACGCGACCACTCACGTTGGTCGACCACCAAGCTCACCGACTACTGGAACTTCACCTAGTCCTGGAGGACAAACTCAACATGAAGTCTTACAAAATTTCTTCCAAAGTTTGCTTAGCTCACGGGATCGCGGTGGCGCCAGTGCAACAGCTAAGAGCGTGGGCCCAAAAACAAATGGCAACACTAGTGGTACAGACGATACAAGCTGATTGTATTCTTCTGGTGTACTTTAGAATGATGGATTTTGTATCATACACGCAGTGGACACAAGTTATTATTGTGTGTTTTCGGACAATAAACAAGTGACCAAACAAAAGCGACCGTCACCTTAAGACCCGACCTCCATCAACGGGCAGCCGAAATTTGCAGCAAAGTTCGGTCTTAACTAGTTTCGCTCGCTAACTTGTCAGCCTCGTTGTAACCGCATTCCCCTGACACCACAACATGGGCAGATGGTGCGTTAATCTAATCAGTTCAAGTCTATCTAATCACGCATGTCGCGGCGTGTAGGACAGCCGAATATTGTGACGAACTGTTCAGCGCGAAAATGAGGAGCTTGGTGTATGAGTGTCTTCTTACTACATAACTTCTGGCTAAGGAGACCTCTGCTCTGCTGCAGCTCCGGAGCAATCAAGCGCCATAGGCTTGAGAAAATCGAACCCACGATAAGCTATGAGCATTTCGTGGAGGACTTAGACGGTGGTGACTCGTTTACGACTTCGTTGATTGAGATTCTGGTCAAGGTGCGCTTTCTGCCACATACCCTTTGTCCACTTCTCACCTCAGCTACAGGAAGTGGCAGACCGACACCATCGCCAGAACGCCACTGACCGTGGTCTTATTGGAGATCGCACCGCCAGAGCGCTGAGGAGGTTATCTAATCCAACCACTACCTACAGGGAACGTTATACTTGGCGCGCCACCAGTGGTCGAAGAGCAGTGGACCTTTCAGGCTACTTGTCGCAACCTCCGGATGAACTCGAAATGGACGAAGAGGCTGATGAGCTTGAGTCACTAGAGCAGTATGGCCTCGTGCCACTCGAGGGCGCTCGTATGAACACTGAGTTGTATGAGGCATACCGGCATCCTCCACGGCCGAATCCTCCAACAACAGCCTACCATGCGTTCTCTCCTGCTTTCTACCCTGCACCGAATCCAGCTCCTGTGCCAGACGACAGGGTGCTTCCTCCTCTACTTGATTCACCCCCTGCTCCACGACTCGGTGGTTTGACACTTCCATCAGCGAGTGGCCTGCTCCATACCTCACTGAGTCGACAGCCCTCCATTCGCCGTCCTGTCAGAAGCAGAACAGCGGATTTCAGTGACTTTAGCGCACGGCGTCGAAACTCTTCGCGACACCTAGCTGATGAGGAGGGCCCATCGAGACTCGATTCGTCCAGCACATTCCCTGGTCCACACGTCAGTGCACCCAGGGAGGATTCCGACCCCCCTTCATCTGGACAGCCGGGCCAGGCCAGGCGGTTTTTCCCTTTCCGTTCACGACGCTTTGAAGTCATTCCCACACCTCGACCTGCACCCAGTACGGGTGAAGACTGGCTCTTCCCACCAGCCCCGTGGTCATCATCCCCATCAGACCGTACTACATCCTTGGCACTCGATAGCCAAGTTGGTGAAGAGCGCTCCCAGGCACCTCGGCTCCGGCGAGGCGGCCTTAGAGCACCGGAATCTATGCTCTCACGGCATGCTTCGCCTGCCATTAACGCAGGGCTGGCACTGAGGGTATCAGATGAGATAGCTGCTATTGAGAACGCGGCAGCTGAGCGTCAAGAGCAAACGCGATCTGTATCAGAAGAGATATTACACTCTATTGGTGGACCATAGACTTGTAGAGATATGATTTATTCCTGTCGGTAGGATATTTGTATTATTTTTACTTTTACGCCTCCACTTTGCATGTTTCGTAGCACATGCTAGCAAAACAGAACACTATTTAGACGGATCATACTGAATTTGTAACGAGTTTGCCACGTCTAAAGTGTACCCCGGATCTTACTTAGATCTGCATGCACCGCATTCGAATGCCAGTCATGTGAATCAAGGTTGTAATAGCCAAATAAGATCTATTCCAAACATCCATGATCAAGAGACGCAACAGACCACAGCCCCGGGTACGAGAATCGTCGCCAGGCACAGAGCAATCTTCAGAGCTAGAGGAAGACGAGGACGAAGAAAAATCACTCCCGTACGTTATGACCCAAGAACCAGTTCAATTCAGAGAATAAAACGCAGACAGCATCTCGGACCTCATTGAGCTCAGGAAGCTCAGGAAGTCCAGACAAGGAATTGATGTTTCAAAACTATCGAAAGGCGATGCCAAGAAGAGGAAGCGCAAAACTGCAGAGGATGGACAAGAGGCTGAGGGCGGTCTGAGGCCTGGTGCGAGAGTGGATGAGTACGCGAACATGATACTCCAGTGTTTGTAGTCCCGCTCACTCTGAACACACAGCGAAGAAACCAGTACGGATGCGAAAGCAAGGCGAGCCGTTCGAACGAGCAACTTTACGCAGCAGACGAATGTTTTGGATGTCGACAAACATATGTGAGTGTGGTGTCTGTCTCAACTTCTATTCTGACGTTGGTGTAGGATGGCATACATTGAAGAGAATCTCAAGATTCGCAGCCGCCCCTCAGACACATCCGAATCCAAGCCTGGAGCAAATGCTCAAGACGAATTTTCTCTTTCCGAGCGGTGGAAAGGAGAAAAGAAAACTGCGGATGAGGGCAATGTTACTAACAGCATGGCTATGCTAACCGCCATTCCCGAAGTTGATCTCGGCATGGAGTAGGGTTTCCTCCATTCTAATCTATCTGATTTGGCTGACTTTGTGAGATAGCACACGATTGAAGAATATCGAAGAAACCGAGAAAGCGAAACGACAAGTTGCTGAAGTCCGCAAAGAACGCAAACGACCTAATGATGAGGAGCATCTCGTCGCAACTCGATGTTCGTTGTCTCTAACTTGCTATTGTGAATTCACTATTGATGGACTGCTTAGTCTATCGGCCGCATCTCAAGCAGAAGTCTGACGCAGAAATCATGCGAGATGCCAAACTCGAAGCAATGGGTTTACCACCTCAAGAAGACAGAAGACCTCGCGGTGAACGTCCGCAAATGGCGACCGATGAAGTGGTATGAAGACTGGTCCATTTATCATAATCATTAACTCATATATCTCAGGTCATGGAGCGCTTCAAGAAAAGAATGCGCAGGTGAACTACTATCTCTTTCCTGCGAATGATCTCCTGCTTTGTTTCCAGCGCTACCTTGTTGCCTCGAATCGCTCAGTACCTCTTGCTCGTTAGGAATTGCGGAAAGATATACACCTTAAATCCCGTCTATTCCTCTACATGGCCAAGACCAAATCCTTCAACTTTCCAAAGTTGGGTGTACCGTATCCAGTGACTGCAATGATTATCAGCATATAAACATGTAACCTTGTTCGGCGCATTCATGAACTCACCAGGATCCCATCCAACCGCGGCCTGCGTACAGTTATCACATCAGTCGCTGAGGATCGTGAAACATGGATATAACTTACATTAAAGCCCTCAGTTTGACATCCTGGGTTGCGACCCTCGGTGATGTCATTCAATGCTGTGTATCCAACCGAATACAAGAAAGGGTTTAAGAATCCAAGAGCAGTCTTTCCGGCAGAAAGACGTGCGTCGTTCAGCATGGAAACGAACGCAGTAAATGCAGGCGCAGCGCAGGATGTACCATCCAGTAGTGTTACCTGGCCTTGGTAAACCACCGAGAAGCTTGCTGCTTGTGATGACACGTCGGGGTATGCCTAAAGAAATATTTTTTACAAGACCTTCGCAAGTTGAAGGGTCAACTTACACGTCCAGTCCTGAAGATGAGGAGTTAATTGGATATATCCATTTGCCAGCTCGTGATGACTTACGAGTTATAGAGACCTTCGTAGGTGCCGGGAGCGAGCGTTGCCAAATATGCCGAGACAGCATCATCCTGGTATGAAGGACGAGGAAACTGGTGTGAACGAGTCCTATTGGTCAGGAGGTGTTACGGAGGGCAGAGGCCACGCACATAGTTACTAAATCCACCCCCAGAAAAGGACGCTGCAGTCTCGGGGATGTTGACAGTTCCACCAACAGCAGTCACACTTGAAGTAGCAATTGATTATCTTAGTTCAGTGCTCGTTCAGACAGGTCACTTACTATGGGCATGAAGCAGGGAACACAGGCAAGAACTTCGGGGTTTTAAGATCATCATTGGAATAACACTGGTGCCCGAGAGGCTCATCAGGATTGGCAACGCCGTCACCCACGCCCCCGTCGCCAGACGAGAACATCACTGAGACACCACGAGCACCGAGTGCTGCCATGCCATTGCAAATACGAGTCGCGTAAGACTGCGGCACGCTTTGCTCATCGTCACCATAACTTGTAGAGATCGATTGAGGAATTTTAACCTGCGAAAGGACATATTCAAGCCACTGAATGTTGTCAACATTAAATTCCAATCGCAATCGATTAAACGCACGTATGAGTAGGGCTCGTTTGTATCACTCTCTGTCATCAAATCAGAGTCAAAAGGGGGCTCCCCTCTAGTGGTGTAGAACGTTCCAGGCGTGGGCCAAGTAAGCCCAAAGCCGAACTGAGTGTCAAGGTTGGCCTCGAGGCCTGCTGCTTCATAGCTCTGGTTGTTCTTGCCACCTACGAAGCACAACAATAAGGCATCGCCGACAGTAACTCAATCTCGACATACCATGAATGGACAAGGAGGTGTAGTTTGAGCCATAAGCAGATGGGTTCTGAAGCTGGTAGAATTGCTGAAGATCCACGTCATTGGTAGACTCGTTGAGATAACCAGTGATACCAAGAGCATTGTCGTTAGTGGCAGACGTTTTATAATCCACCGCGTTATATAACTGTCGTAAGCACGAAACGGTGATTGTGTTGTTGCACCTCGCATCAACCTGGTTGCCTGCAGGCCCTGTGATTGTTGAACCAGATAGACTCGAATCCGCAGGCTGCACATGATTAGTCCAGTGCAGCGTGCTCTTGAACGCCTTGAAACGAGCAAACATAGTAGTGGGCTGAATGAGATCGACGTGATCGTGCAAGATCTCAGGGAGGCTGTAGCTCATCGTCCGGATGATGCTCTCTCCAGTCTGAGCGTGCTTGTAAACATGATAATTCTAGGTATCTAGCCATCAATGCAGATATTCACAAATGACATCCACTTGCTTACAGTAGTCAGCATCACCTCAGCGAGACCGACAGGGACACGGATAGTAACCCAATCCTTTGCAGGTGATTGGGTGACATCTTCTTCCGCTAAACCGTGCAAGGCAAGCCATTTCCTGACGACGGCAAGAGTCTCAGGGTGGGGAGCCATGAGTGCTTCGGTCTCCTGCTTCGACAAGTGCGCCCCATAACGTGCGTGGCTTGGGTCGCTAACTTCCCGAAGGTGTTGCTCGAGTTCCGGAAACTTGGGCTGAGGCAGAGCGATCTTGAGCTCAAGCATGTGATGTTTTGGTGCAGGAGCATGCTTGTACCACCCACTAGGTGGACCATGGATACTCTCTTTCACCTTTTGCTGGTAACCCCAGAAAGGCATCGCACTAGCCAGGGCAGCCGCGAAGGGGAGACTAAGCAGAGCGAGTCTCATCGTCAGCATGCAACAATTGGGGAGGGTTTCAACGCCTACGAGCCAGTCAGAGCTTGCATCGTTAATTTATATCGAGAACAAAACTTCGGATAACGTTAGGCAATCTATTTACTAAATTGGCTCTGCACTTAAAACGTTATTAGATCTCGTTGATGCAATAGGTGTTCTAGTACTTACCGTAGTTGATTACTTCATGACAAATGACCAAAGCTGAATGCATCAGGCGTCAAGATCGCTGGAGTGATGTGGGCCATACGGTAAATGTGAGCACGTACACTAACAAAACCATCATCTGCCCATGCATATGTATATGTAGAATATGCAGGTAGGGTGCACGTTATTATTAAAGTCTATTCATCAGGAATTCCGTATGTGCCACACGCACCGTAATGGGAGTCTCATCGCAAATTCTAATACCGGCAATTCTAGATGTATAGGCCCTTCTTTCTTTCTGATAGGAACCTTTCATGGTCTGTGACGCGCCGATCATGGTAGCTGCAGTCTTGATCAAAGCCACCTCATGACACATCCTTGTAATTCGCAACGTTGATGCCGCTGCACTAAACCCCAGTCTGAATATTGTTCAAGTCTTCTAGCGGAGATTTGGCAGACTCACAATCTGTCTCCTCTAGCACGTTTATACCTATTCTTACTACAGTGGATCTACAGAATCCACTGCAATGCCACAAGGCACTGTGTTGCAGGCCTCCATATCTCGAACTGCTCTCAAAAGGATGGCAACAGCCACTAAGTGAAAAGGATACGAGCCAACTGCAGGTACTGTCAGAAAGTGAGAACGTGCGGGATGTGGTCAGTTTTTAGGCAAGTATGTCAGACTGAGGCTGGAACATATCCGAGTCGGCTGGGAGCCGGCTCCTGCCCTCATACTTATTACTTACCACCACTCTGGGCCCATTCCACGTAAACCATGGGGCCAAAATTTAGGGCCGTCTGCCTCCTGCTTCGAGTGAAAAATTGAGGGTCCAATGAGTGAAATTTGCAGTCCAACTACTATCATTCCGGGGGTTCTGCAACTTTTTCAGCAAATCTTTTGTAACTCGTCAACCACTTCATATTATCTTCCACGAATTTAGAGTATTGTAGATTCATACCTCCTCTATATAGATCTGATTTTTTCTCATTTTTAGGACGTTGTGGTGTGGTGTCGGATGAAAGCCGAGAAAATTCCAGGCTCCTTCCCATCCTTGTTGGAGAGGAAGGGAGCGGCATCCGAGTGCGGTAGTTAGTGCTTAGTAAACCGGAAACATGCGCAAACCTTTCAAACCCAGCCAAACTTTATCCCCCCAACCTCTCCAACAGCGGCTGGCACAAAACATTTGTAAACAAGGGCAGCCACAGCGGCAAAAACCCAAAAGAGTCTGCAGAAGTTGAAATATATATGTATCGCTAATAAATATAATGTTATTCTCGACGTATTATCCTTTTTTGTCATATGCCGGCTGAAGCTCCTAACTTCTCTGCCATTCGAGAGAAACTTCAGGATTGTTTCAGCAAGAGAGCCTGCTTGTGGCAACTCAAAGTTACAGATGCATTCCTGCAAAATGATCGTGATATTATCTGCATGGCGGGGACAGGGATGGGAAAAACACTTGCCTTCTGGTTGCCGTTAGCTCTCAAAAACACGGGTGTCTTAATCGTCATGACTCCACTTAACCAGCTAGGGAAACAGAGTGTCAACTTCCTCGAAAAGGCCGGTATCCCAAGCATTTCAATCTCTGCCGAGACAGCAAGCAGAGCAAATTTCCGTGTAAATCAAAGGCTATCTGTTAGTTATAATCATTTAATCATTGTATTCATCACAGGACATAGAAGACTTGCATTACCATGCGATTATAACCAGCCCAGAACAACTGATGAAGCCAGGTGGAGAATTTGAGAAGCTGTTGCAAAACATTGACTTCGCCTCGAAATTAATTGGCATCATATTTGATGAAGCACACTGCATTGTGACCTGGGGAGATTTTCGGTCAGAGTACAAGGACTTGGGGCGCTTGCATTATATCCTACCTTGTCAGGTACCTTTCATGATCGCATCAGCAACGTTCACGTCAGATGCTCTGAGAGACATACGTAGGCTCCTTCACATTCGATCAGAAAAGCTCACCACCATTCACGTATCCACGGACCGTGTTAAGACTGTGCACAAAGGGTAGGACTGATTCCAAGGGGCTTGGCTTCAGCTCGTGCGCTGCGCCCCTTACCCGAGTATGTGCCCTTAATTTCAGAATGATGTCCGAAGAAAGTCCAAGGATGTCCGAAGCGCGGGAAAGTTCGGAAGGACTTTCCGGACGAGTGCGGGAAAGTTCCGGAGGAACTTCCGGAAATTACGATGAGGTTTCGTCCTGATACGGATACGTGTAATGGCTACTTAGGACACGTCCTAAGTAGAAGCAAACAGAGGAAAGGCTGCAAGGACAAAGTCCGAAGCAGAATAGGTCCGGAGGACCGCAGGAAAGTTTCGGACGAACGTCCGGAAACTTCGGAGGATCGGATGAGCGGATAAGCGGAGCTCTGGCCTAGGGAATTTCTCCCTAGGCCCGAGATGGATATTGACTAAGTCGATAGACTAGAACTGATATGAGGACTTAGAGTGAGATCTAGTGCGAGGACTAATATGATATTCAGACTGAGGAACTACAGGACATATACAAGAGTTTATATACTAAGGAAATAACGGAAAGATCAGTAAGCAAGCGTCTGAGGCTATGTATGAAGCATAAGCAAAGTTATGAAGTGCGAGTTGGAAATGAAGCATAGGTTAACGGATCAGTAAGCATACCGGTAGTAAGTATAACCGAGATACCAAGGACAAGGAATACCAAATAGAGGAATAGGCTGTGTTAACGTTATATGCACAGGAATTGAATTAGGAAGCTTATCGTATATCGGATCGGATCGGATTGGACCAGATTGGACCGGACGTCCGGATGAGACACGTGGATATATGGGATATGACATTAGGGTGATGGGACAAAGGATGACTGATGCAGGCTAGCTGAGGTATGGAGGTAAAGGGATGTGGATGTGGATGTGGATGTGCAGAGGTGCAGGGATCCGGATGGATAGAGGACTGGAGACATGGATAGGGCGTCCGAAGGTCCGGATGAGGCGTGGGAATATTGTCGGATGTAAGTCCGGAATATGGGATATGACAGATTGGAGGAGTGGAGGAGCGGAGCTCCGGCCTAGGGAATTCCTCCCTAGGCCTGAGATGGATAATGACTAAGTCGGAGGACTAGAACTGTTACGAGGACTTAGGGTGAAGGCTAGTGCGAGGACTAATATGTGTATGAATATTCAGACTGAGGAAGTACAAAGATTCTACAGAGTTTATATACTACAGAGGACTTAACGGAGAGTCAGTCAGCGCAGTCCGAAGCTATGCGAGGCTGTGGACGGAGGATGTAGAAAAGTCAAACACTAGTCTATCAGAAAATAGTAAATGAAGACGGAGATGAAGACATAGGAAAATAAAGCCGGAAATAAAACGAGGTACGGAAAATGAGGAAGTCTAACTCAAGAAGGAACATACAAAGGGATAAGGCACGGAAGATAGACGCGGGTCGGATCCGGATGTCCGGAGATGAATGCGTGATAGGTCCGGGTCCGGAACGCGGGATATGACACTAACTTGAGAAGGAACATACAAAGGGAAAAGGCAAGGAAGATAGACGTGGGTCGGATCTGGATGTTCGGAAGTCCGGAGACAGGTGATTACCATAAGGGGATGGGCGCTGATTTAAGGTTTGGGTTCGGACATGACAGATAGGTCAGATCCGGAGATCCGGAGATGTGGATATCAGATCTGGCGTCCGGATATCAGATGCAGGAGTACAGGAATCTGGACGGATAGAGGATTGGGTCTGGAAACATAGACAGGAGGTCCGGAGGTCCGGATGAGGTGTGGGAACATCGCCGGATGTTGGTCCGGAATGCGGGATATGACAGACCGTCCAAACATCAAGATTGGAGTCCGCAAAATCAAACACTCCCTTGCGTCATACGCAGATCTTGCATTCCTCGTACCTACCAGCATGAAGTCACATGATCCACCACCACCAAAATTCCTTGTTTTTTTTGACAGCATCCAAGATGGCATCAGCACCACAAAGTTCTTGCAGGCATGTCTCCCGCCAGATCTACAAGACAAAGTCAAATGGTTTAACTCCAACATGACTACCGAATTTAAGGAGGACGAAGTCACAAACCTCATTGCTGGAGATACATGGGGTCTGTGTACCACAGAGGTGTTTGGAATGGTGAGGCGCACGAGCCCAAATAATGATATCAGGGAGGTATTAATTAATGTACAGGGAATGGACGTACCAGATGTGACTTTGGTTATTCAGTGGCGAGCATCGTGCAAGTTGTCTGCCCTCTGGCAGCGGTTCAGTCGTGCAGCTAGGGACCATGCAGTGGAAGGGACTGCATTGCTGTTTGCAGAAAAAAAGTATTTTGATGATGTATGTGAAGATAAGCGTAAGCATCAGGAGTGTAAAAAGAAAGCAACAGACGCACTGGAAGATCAACCGGAAGCCAAACACCGCATGATTAACAGTTCGACTGCTATTGGTATTGCACATCCAGAAGGAGACAATGGTGCCCAGGCTACTAGTAGTGGCTCAGTGGCAAACATACCTATGGTTATAGTTACTGACACACAGTTGAAGGAATTAATGAGACCACCGGCAGGCACATTGGAGAGGGTATTAAGGCAGAGGAGAGAGAATGAATTGGATTGAGCAATGGATTTGTTGATCAATGCCAAATTATCGTGGTATTGGGTGTCGTCGGAAGATATTTAATATCCAATTTGACAACAGATCAGCAGGTGCGACTTTCCTATACTATATTAATAATCATAATAATATTTTATAGAATCGAGTCACCTTATATGCGACCTGTCAGATACAGAAGGCTGCTCATGTTGTGCTCCCATAATTCCATTCCTAAAGTGTGCTGTGACATCCATCACCCTTTAGCGTTCTCATCATTTGATCCCATCATTGTCCATCAACCACCTAGGCTTCCCATCTGCTCTCGACTTGCAAAATATACCATGGGCCCACAGGAGTACAAATTATGCGAAGCACTGGAGGATTGGAGAGACGAGAAGACTGTGGAAATTTATGGATGCTCACACCTGATTGACCTTGGTCCAACCGTTGTAATGGGTGACTCAGTCCTTGACCGGATTGTTGACTGCGCCCATTTTGAGAAGATTAAAATCATTGAGGATCTCCGCAAGGAAACACATTGGTCTGTCAATGACAATCTGGCCAGGGAGGTGATCACCATAATCCACCGCATCATTCCAATCTCACTCTATACCACTACCCCCCTACAACAACACCCTCTATCCAACACTGTCAGTGCACCGAACAACGGGTTAGCTCAACACCCAGCCCTCAATCCCTCTGCTGGCATCAAAAGGGTGTTGAGGTGCAGCGCTTGTGGTCAGGCTGGCCATAACAGTAAGTCGCTCCTTTGTTCACCTTATCTTCACTGACTCAACCTTTTGACCAGAATGTGGCCGTGTTTGTCCAATGCATCCATCATGGATATCTTCGGCAGCTGGGAAGGAGAATAATAATTCTTAGCATCTTGCAAGAATGGTGAATTTTGGTAATCCAGGGCAGAGCGCTGGTAGGTGGCCCTGTATCTTGCAAGAACAGCGAATTCTGATAATCCAGGGCAGAGCGCTGTCAGCCATAATATTCATACTGATATATCTACCTACTACCAGACTAATTCAACAGCAACATCATCAACTGATGGGCGCTCATCCTTGCCTCCCCTAACGGCAGCTTCTTGCCCTCTGTCTTCGTTATCTATGTTACTCTTTTCCATCAACTCCTGTCCCTTGGCAAGGACATCAGGGATACTGTAATAGCTTCCACGCCCCTTCACTATTTCGTTTGGGGAGTGTTTTTTCATCTGTCTACATAGGACTTGGAACATTTTTGACATATCTGCCTCCGCGTGTCGTGTCGTTTGTTGAGTGTGCAGGAAGTCATTCTGGAACATTGTATGTAAATTCCGGTATATCTGAATGAGTGGAGATTCCATTATAATCCTCAAAACAGTGTGGTTTGATCCTTTTCCTCCATTGATAACCTGTGACTCGTACTTACTGACTTGCATCTTTAATAGTGACGAGGGACACATACCTTCGTAAAAAGGTTGTTCAACTCAACACACCAGTCTACCCCTCGAAATTTTCCTTTCCTCCCAGTTGGATTGATCATGATGTGATAGTGAACAGCCCGTCTACTAATTGTAAGTCTTTAGTAGATGAGGATGCTTTGTAACGCTTACTTCAATCCTGCAGGATACACGAAATGTACTTTGCACAGGAAGTCTGTCATAGTGTTTGCATATTTATGTTTTCCTGTAGCCTTAAACATGGGGATCCACGTCACAAGGCAAGTCTCAACCCGTCCGATGTCTCCGCTATTCATTGCATATGACAGCTCCTCGTATACAAGCATGTACTTGTTCAAGAGGAGTCCATTTTCATATTGCATGTCACATTGAGGTGCTGGTGTGCGTCACGTGCGTCGAAGTTGGTGACCTGCAATATAATTATGAGCAAGGGTGCGTGCCATTGCTTCGATGTCCTCCCAACTTGGCTCTGATACTGCAAATTCCTCCAGACTTGTCCACTTTGGGTCGCTGTTAAGAACGTGCTCAAAGGTCGGATCCGAAGGGCTTGGCTTCAGCTCGTGCGCTGCGCCCCTTACCCGAGTACTTGCCCTAACTTCCAAAGGCTGTTGAACAATGTCCGGAGGGCGTTGGGTGATGTCCGGAGTCCGATGTCCGATGCACGGGAATTCTGGTGGACGTTCGGGAACAAGAGATAAGACTAATCCAGATGAAGTCCGAACTAGAAAGGAAACAGCAGAGGACTACCAAAGGTAGAGGCGGAGGTGATAAGTCTATAGGAGTCAATCCTAAGACAAGCGGAGGTCGATGAGAGAGAAACTCAAGTCGGACGGAGGAGGTAATGAGCAGAGTCTAAGATGATATTTGAACTGAGGAAACTACAGAGACTGTACAGGGTTTATATACTACTGAGGACATAACGGAGAACAGTAAGTGCAGTGCGAGGCTATGTAAAGCTATGGAGAAAACATATGGGACGACTATCACTAGTCTATTGGAACTTAGTAAAATGAAGACGGAAATGAATAAGGGACGGAAAATAAAGCGTACTAACTGATAAGGGAAATACCAAAGGAATAAGGCATGGAAGTTAGATGCGGGTCGGATCCAGACGATACATAGAAGTCGGCCGGATCTGGAAATCCGGAAATGATGAGTGTGATAGGTCCGGACCCGGAACATGGGATATGACAGTCGCGTTTCTTGGCCTCGACTCTCCAACAATCAAGGCGACGACAAATACCATCATGCATAATCAGTTCATGCATACAACGGAACCCCGGCTTTGATCCGTAGTGGCCAGTTTCCTTTGGTCGCAAGACACCTACATCTCGCATGAGGCTAGTTTCATCGAGTCGTGCTGCACTGGCCTGCAGGAATATCCGCCAAATTGTGTCTGCAGCCGCCATCTTCAAATGAAAAAGACCAGGGACAAAGATAACATGTTGTAAACGGTTCCACGGTGTGTTTTATATTTCTCGACACTGCTGTGCTGATTGAAGACGTTCCCCCATCCCCAAGGTCACCATGGAACAGAACTACGTAATCTGAGATGTCAGGCATCTCTGGATCATCGACAACTGCAGGATCTCTGATTCCACCCTGCTCGAGCAGGTTAACAACACTTTGTATATTACCTGCAACAGTTGAATTACTAATATCCATTGCAGACATAGCAATAATTGGTGTTTTGGTGATGGGGATGGCTTCAATGGCCTCGGGTTTGTGAAGTTGGTCACGGAATCGAGAGAAGTATGGAGGGCCATATGAAACGAGGTCTGAGAGAAACTTCCATGCATTAAATCTATCATGATGGCTAAGACCTGATTCATCAGGTGTGTCCATGTGAAGACCGAGCAGGTGTGTCCATCCTTTCTTTGGTGGCAGTTGTACTTGGGTATTAAATGGCGATGTCTTCCACAGCTCTTCGGAACACCTAAGGTCCTCCTTGGAGATGTCATGCTGCAGTGGGAACATCAGGCCTGATGTGAGATGCTTGAGAGATTCTGTTGAATTTTCAATTTTGTGCTGATGAGTTTTCAGGTCTACGTCAAAGTTATCATATGCATACACTGCAAGAAGTGACCGTCCAAGGGACTGGAGGTGTTGGTGAGTTTGCGCCGATAACGATTTCGTCGCGGCATGAATAGCATTTGGGATATCTTCTACAGCCGGATGAGCACCATATCTTTTACTTGACAGAAGCACCAGTATAAATTCTGATGCTGAAATGCCGACACGCTGCAGGGTTTCGAGAATGTCGTCCACCGAGTCCATTAATGACATATTGATATATATATATACATTATATTTATTAGCGATACATATATATTTCAACTTCTGCAGACTCTTTTGGGTTTTTGCCGCTGTGGCTGCCCTTGTTTACAAATGTTTTGTGCCAGCCGCTGTTGGAGAGGTTGGGGGGATAAAGTTTGGCTGGGTTTGAAAGGTTTGCGCATGTTTCTGGTTTACTAAGCACTAACTACTGCACTCGGATGCTGCTCCCTTCCTCTCCAACAAGGATGGGAAGGAGCCTGAGAAAATTCAGGGTCTGACTGCTAATCTGCAAAATACGGTCACATCGAGTCACACCTCGGCATAGCACCGGCACAGTCGACTTTGACTCTCCGCACTGCGCTCGATTTATTGGCGAGTCGTCAAACTTGAAGCTTTGAAATACAGCAATATATTATCATTAAGTATTGTGGTTCATGTAGTTATTGTGATTGTACTGCTGATATGGTCCTGAATAAGGTTGACTCTGTGCATACATCTGTACTACCTCAGCACCCACTCGAAAATCTACTCCGCTACTGGCCAGTGCTGGCGGCAGCGCAAAGTGAGGACTTGGAATAGGGGGAGGCTGAAGCTGAAGTGCGGAATGGTGCATGGGATAATGTGGGGGGTTGATAGCCGCCAAATGGTTCATGAATTGAATTTTGATGACTTGTGTCTTGTGGTACTGACTCAATAGTGTTATTGTTGGTTTCAACATGCCACCTGCGAGAATGGGGGTGATTGAATAAACCCTCGTACCGCTGGTTTTTCTTGAGTTCAGGTTGGCCATCAAAGAACTGCACAATTCGCTGGAGCAGCTCTGCCTTGAGTCCAGTCTCCGGTAATCGCAAGGCTGCAGCTATATCACATAGCTCGTCCAATTTTTTGGTCTTGATTGCGCCTGTAAATGCAACTTGGGACTGTTCCTGCTCTGCTTGCCGGTCACGTTTTCCCTGCTCCTCTGCAACCTTCTTCTGCTTGCTCACCTCATCTTGATGTTTACGCTCAGCCTGTTTGGCCTCCAGTTCCCTCAGCTCCATGTGGCCTTCCTGTGATGTGAGTACCCTCGAATACGGCTTCATTCATTTCTTGCCTGATCCCTTGCGAGATTTGTCTTCCAGCTTCTTGTTTCACCATTCCTTGTAGTGCTCGGCCATCTGACTCGAAAAATAGCAGTGAGTCTCTGCCGCATCCTTTTGATACATCAATAATTCATTCTCTCGATGTAGCCATCCTTCCTCAGCATCTTGGAGACGCTTGGCTGTTGTTTTCGGTCGCACAATCAGTGCAGGTGTTGTGCTTTGTGGCAATGACATAGGTGTTGCGCTTCGTGACAATGATGTCTGAAGAGATACTGATTGAGTGTGATGTCGAGGTGGGTATGCGCTGGTACCAGTCGTGCTGTTGGGGAGTGTTGGGGCATAGTCGAGTGAGCCAGCAAAATGTGATGGACCAGCCTCAGGCACTAATGACGGTGAATATTGTTGCAGTGTTGCTCCTTGATCTGTCATTTCACTGAAGCCACAGGTATGATTGCCTGAGTTGTCATCTAACTCAGCCTGATTCTGAACTGTCGGAGTCAGACGAGTTCTCGTGTAGTGGCTCATATGGTGTATCAGATTCGGAAAGGGGATTGGATTCGGAAAGGGGATCAGAGTTTGGATTGGCAGGAAAGGTGGTGGTGAGGTGCAGGTGGGTGGATGACTCGTAACTTGGTGCGTAATCCTCTTCTGTAAATATTCCTGGGTTTATTGGTCTAATTCTGCTCCTTTTCCATGCCTGTAGGATCGTCTCCTCTTTAAATGTGACATCTCTTGCCTTCATGTACTCTCAGATCACGTCGCACTTCTTGATTCCCTCCCCAGTCTCTTCCATTATGACCTCACTGTATCTCTGCCATTGTTTCTGCAAGGGACCGAAAACACCCACATCGAGAGGTTGCAAACAATGTGTTGTGTGGGGGGGAAGGCAAAAAAGGTGGATACCATGTTCTTCTGCTACTTGACGAAGTTTGATTGTCTCATGTGAGCAGTGTCCATTGTATATTAGGATGATTGGTTGACCAGATGAATTCTGTTCCTTGGATTGTGGCACGAAACTCTTCACAAACCACTCAGTGCCAATGAAGTCACTTGTCCAGCCATTTTCAGACGTTGCAATTCTGATATCAGAATTGAGTGAGCTTTTCTATCTATGATCGAGCAGAGACTCACATTATATCATCTTCTTCAAAGTACTCAGGATATATTTGTGACCCAGAAAATATGAAGCCAGGCTTCAAACTAGTGCCATCTGCACACACGCACTCGATCACTGTTACCAGCTCAAGCTGGTCACTCTTTGCCTTGACTCGGGCTTTTGCTGTCCATGAAAACAGGTACTTCATGTTGTCACATTTCCTCCCCCCTCCAAGTTGTATCCCCTTCTCATCCATGTTATACACATTGTCCCAGGGAATGTTCTCTGATTTCAAGAAGTCGTCCAGGAGTTTGAAGTGGTGATTAATAGTTGTGTAGTTGAACATTTGCATCCGCTTCGGGTCAATGCCTGTTGGGCGTCCCAGCTTGAGTTCTGGATTGCGAGCAAGAAAATCTTCAACCCAGGTTTTTGATGGCCCCTTATCTTTTCCAGTGAGCTTCTTCTTTGCCTTTAACTTCTCGCTAAGCTCTGACACCTTTGCACGAAGGTTGCGCTTGGAGAGAGGGTGACCTGTCATGGCCAGGTACTTGGCCCAATGACATATCTCCTGTCCTTCAGTGAGTAGTTGTTGGGTTTTGTGGGCTTTTGAATGAGGTTTAGTGAGGTTCTGCGCCCATCAATGAAGAGTATGGTATGAGACTTTGAACTCTGCAGCTGCTGTTTGAAGATTCTTGGTCTTCTTCTCTCTGATAGCCTGGATAGCAGCAGTGAAGTTGGCTTTGTGAATTGCATCTTCTTCAGCTTTCTTCTGATGCCTATGGTTTGGTGCCATTGTTTCAAGGATGTGAGTGTGATGCACGAGGAGATGACAATGCAAGACTTGGTGCACTTGCCAAGTGTGCCGTAGAGGAGATTGAATTTGTTACACACTCTCCTATCTGCTGTCATGTTTTCATACATGTCATCAATTCTTCCTCTATAGCATCTTAAAATGACAGGATGGCCTTTATCGAAATTGTGTTCTGGAATCCTAACGAGGTGATTGTGATGCTCCAGGTATAACTTTGTGAATATACCTGCAGGATCTATGGGATCTGGATGATTTATGTCCCTGCATGGTTACAAATTACCACTATTTCATCTCTTGCAGCTGCAACACGCAAGAATTTTTCATTCTACTTGGACAGTACATCATAGATAAGTAGTCTACATATGCCTGAATTTTTTCGAAGTGAGTTGAGCAGTGTGTTGTGGTGTTTTGAACATTTTGCACATTACATGCATGTTGCAGATTATCCAGAATAATAGTAGAGGTGTCTTCTACAGGTAGAAGCATCAGTTGTACGGTAGCTGCGTAAAGCCAAGCAGAGTTGAGACCAGCATCAAATTCAAGGCATGGCATCAGTTACTATCATTCCCTGCAATGTGTAACATTTTCATAAAATATTTTCTAGCCCCTCGACCACATCACTTTTTCTTTCGAAAATTTTACCTATCATAGATTTATATCTCTTCTACATGGATCTGATTTTTACTGATTTTTAGAATAATGTAGTGTGATGTTGGAGTAACTCTGAGAAAACTCAGGGTCACCCTCCAATCTGCACAATTTTGGTCATGGCCTGTCATGCCTCAGCATAGTAGCGGCACAATCAACTTTCACTCTCAGAAGTCTTCAAGTGTGCATTGGATTGTGTTGGAAAGGCTTGAAAACGCAGTATTATTAACTCAGAGTATTTAATACTAACAATAATAATTACTCTGAATGTAGTATTGGTGCCCTCCTGCATACACATCCTCAGTTTACACCATGCTGCCAACTCAAAAATCTGCATTGCCATAAGTCACTGGTGCAAAATAAGGGTGCCAAGTATGTGGAGACTTGAGAGTGAGGCTGAGGTGCAGGATGCTTGAATGTGTTGCCTTCCTGTGGTGTGGTGCCATTGGAGAGAATGATATAACATAATGTGGAGACTCAAGCAGAAGGTAGACACCACATACTGTCATTATGATGTATTAAATATGACACTGTCGCAAGAATACTGATACATAAGTGTGACAGTCCGTCAACCTTAGGCATATAGCACCAACACTGCGGTGATACATCAATCCTGTGGTGATACATCACCATGTAAGTATACCAGGGTCCAGCTCGTGTAGTGATACATTGCCCTCACTATCCTATGGGGTGTCATACCTTAAGCGTTTCTATACTGCCAGTTTACCTGCTTTGGGTTCGTCTTTGAGAAGGCCAGGCTGGACACAATACCATCAGTTCTCGATTTCATCGGGCAGAGGGCCATCAATATATACATCAACATCAGTAGGTATGTCATCATCGTCATGCCCATCATAGTCGTCTGGAAGAAGTTGAGACACTACTATCTTTGGAATGTCGGTCCAAAGTCATTGGCAGTGGTTAGCCATCGTCAGCTGTAGGCATACTTGTTGTTCTGCATAGGCGAGAGCTCCCTCCTGATAGTAGGCTGAACTGGAAACAACAACCACACCTCCTCGTTCTTTCCACCAGCGTGACTGCCACCAGAAAAACTCGATCACCCTGCACATTTCTTCAAGAAGTGATAAAACTCCCTCTGACCAGCGAGCCGTGCGCGCTTGTGCCTTGCACCATTCAATGTGCAGGCCTGAATGATAGTGTGAGTTAGAGAAAATAGAATGAGATGATGGCATACAGTCTCAAAGGCCAGCATCGTTGTTGTGCAAGGCACCTGGTGCCTTCCAGATCCACGAAATATCTTGTGTGCCTTCTGACTGACCAGGAGCAATATCACCCAATGGGCGCAATGTCTGTGACATGCAATACACGTAAACTCTCCTTCCAAGCCACCTTGCCCAGCAATGGTCCGAGAGTGAGGAGTGCTGAACGTGCATTGTTGTACTTGAGTTTGCTTGCCATCTTCTTCATTTCTGCAAGATCCAACATGCTACGAGCACATGTTGATGCCCGTTGGCCACATATATGGGTGCGCTTGACGGTCTTGAGGTGGGAGGAGAGTCGTATAGTCTGGCGTACTTCATTCAAGGCATCATTTGCCTGAGCAAATCTCAGATCCCATTCCAACACCCAAAGGGCATGGTTGCATTGATATGCAGGCAGCAATGCTGATGGCAGCCACAGAGTGAGATTCTCAGGCTTATCATTACCTGCAACTGGGGCTGAATCCGCCGATGGATGTGCTGCATGGAGTGAGACAACAGCAGGCATATAAAGGGCTTGGACTACTGTCCATGCCTTGATCTTGCACCGTAGCGTATTGCCTCGCACACACAAATTGGTTCTTCGGGTTTCGGTGGCATGAACCCCAAGAGCAGCGGTATCTGCACGAAACCAATGCCTGGAGGAGGGTAAGCAAAGCAGAAGAGGCTGCAATCAATAAACTGCCGCACTGTTGATCTTCCAAGTCTAATCCAGAGGAAATAAGCTGAAATGGTGATATTTCATCGTGCAAAGAAGTGTTGATACTGCCCTCTAAGTTGCAAGCCTCATTCTCAGCAAGTCGCAGTCGGACTGCAGTCTGTGTCATTGCTTGAATAAAATCAGGACAGAAATGTGAAACATTCTGAATATGACACTTACATGTGACACGACTTTCAAATGGATTAAGCTCTGAATTGTCCTCCTCCCAGGCCTCTACTTCGGATGTCCAGGCGGTGAGATGAACCTCATTGATACCGCACTCAAGATCTGTGAGCTCTTCACCATAGGACTTGGCACAGATCACTGTATCCTTCAGTTTACATATGAGAGTGTGACCTGACATAGCATGAGTCAACGAGCTTTGAGTAGCAGAAGACTTCGAAGCTTACCAAACATTGTGACCTTCTTCCAATTCCAGTCACTAAAATTATCGTCTAATGTATCACGACAAGAGCCTGGACCCATCTCTTTAGTGCTTGTAGCTACCTGGTTGATATTTGCCCAACCTCTCTCTGGCGCTTCTCCGTCTGTGCGACCCACACCTTTTGAATAGTTAAATGAAAATCGAGTCTGGCAAGCAGGGATATGAGCATTGAGGTGGAATTTTGGGACAACAAATTGTATATGTTTCTTCTCACGATCAAACCATAGATTAGGAGGCATGGAGTTCAAACAATTCCAAATCTTCTTGTGCCATTAACAGGCAATGTCATAAGACAGGTTGCAGTCGAGTATGTCGCTGCTGGCGATCACGGAGAAAAGTAGTCCATGTTCACGTACCTGACAATCAGGTCAGAGGTGTGAGAACAGTGCGAGATGTCACTTACTTCTCTCCTTTTTGTAGATCACCAACACCATGTGCAAGCTTCATCTCATACTGTGCACAGTCAACAGTTCCAACACCTGTTGCTGCAAGACCTCTTGATGATTTTGTGTCGGCCATGTTAACTGCGTTGTGGCTAACACACATACTCCACTATCCAAAACCCATTGAGTCACACATGAGTCAAACAGCGAAAGAGACCAACCTCTTGTGGCACAGCGATGCGTTCTGCCAGATATGTCTTGTATTCACATCCTTCAACAAAGTATGCTGACCCAGCATTCAAGCTAGGGTCACGCTCATCACTTGATACAGCTTTCCGTTTGAGACGAAAGTTGGCATCTATTGCAAGAAAGAGGGCATACAGCCATCTTTGTGAGTTGGTTAGTGGAGGTGGCTCCTTGCCAAATGACATGCAAGCTGACCTTCTATTGCTTGGTGCATCCTCCCAGTCATCCGGCAGGTTCTTCCCTGGCTGCGGACATGCAGGACACAAAACTACACAGTCCCCCTGGTCTATAGACTCCAGACCGTCAGGATCATGACTCTTTCCTGCCCGTTTGAAAGCCTTGAGGTTACGCCACTCTCATATCATATGTAAGAAAGCAGAATAATGGTCCTGTTTGAGCATTAGTGAATAATGGTTGTCAAAAAGTGTGTCACATGCCTTGATTGGAGTCATTCCCATGTTGTCAGAGCGTCGGGCCAAGCTATGATAGAACTCGTATGCTGAAACCTTCGACTCAAAAGACAGCAGATGGAACATCTCCAAAAGAGCGAAGGTTGCAGCTGTCTGAGGCTCCAAAGACGTAGCTGGAAACCAACGTGCACATAGCAGCTGAATATAATGAATCTGTGCCTTTTCACACCCACAATAATCGAGTCCAATCTCGTGAATGCCATGCACATCAACGACTACAAAGCCATCGCCACTGGCAGATTTGGCATTGAGGCATTGTTCCCCTGGACTATGCCCAAGCTGCACATGCAAGCCAAGGTATTTCAGTGAGGTGCACTGGAAATACTTCTTGTTCCATTCCTAACCCAAAGTCAGCCCTGTGAAGACGGCTTGGTACTAAGCTTACATCTATTCTGTGCAAAGGATGGCTTGCATGACATTTGATGATACAATCTCGACACATCATCTTTGTTCCAAAGCAATCTTTGCACCGGTAAATTGGCTCCCCCTTGCCATCACAACTGCACTGAGAACCATGCATATCATATCCGTGGCCTTCCAGATAGATCATTTCTTCCAGGTATGTAGCCCGTTCTGGAATCCACCATTTAAGAGGATGGTCCTGTCGCACATTAGATTAGACAAATGATTCTTTGAAAGATCTTCAGAAGTCAAAAACTCACACCTGCAGTCCATTTTTGCTTCACAGTTGGAACTTCCTGTTCAATATTTTCAAAGTCAGGGTTCGCTTGCAGGGAGTTCATTCCATGAGTCAAAGCCTGGGGTGTCCAAACCTGCATCCTCGGGCAAATCAGGTGCCAGTGGCGATGGTGGGGAGGAAGAAACAAATTGTGTTGATTGAAGGAAAACATTGTCATCTCGAACTCCATATACTCGGTGTCGCTGATATTCAACAGTATCATTGTTTTTCTCTATGTAAGGAACAAGTCTAGGTTTTTTGGAACGGCAACCCATTACACGCAGATATGTAGAATGTAGATGGGAATGTTCAAATAAACAAGTTTATTTTAGGAAAGTTTGGGAAGACTTTGGAAACACTTAGTGACTCTCATGCTGGCAAGGATCTGCTCAGTGCTGCAGCAGTAAACACTATCTTTGACTCTAACAGGATTTACCAAACTTCGATACATCTGTAGGTCGAGCACTCAACATCATTGTCTAACTCCCCAGTAGGCCCAGTCTGATGCACGCCCCACCCCCCAGTAGGTCCAATAATCTCTAGGCCTTACACCACTCTCTCGGAACTCCTGCTTTAGCAACCAGTGTGTTTCCCAAAGTAAAAAACACTTGATGTCCTACGATTCAGGTCAGTACAATCAGTAAGTAAAGTCTGGAGTACTCACAACACAACGTTTTGCCACTGCACGGCAGAGTTGTGTGGCTTGTGAGACAGTTATAGGTGTGTCCCTTTCAACATCAAAGTCAGGCGGTAAGACTTCCTCCCACAATGGCTGCATCTCATCTAACTCCTCACATATGTCATCAATTAGAAGGTTGGTTTGACTGGCCCAAGGCGGACATCTCCTGAACTCAGGGATTTTGAAACATAGGAACTCGGCCTTGGTCTGATTGGCCTCCATATTGAACCTTATGCTGTCTAGTGTTAGCAATGATGTTTATGGCAGAATAGTTATTCACGCACCTGGTGAGGAAAGGAAAATAGTATAGGTTCTTGTAGAATTTAGATACATTTATATGTAGCTTCAGATGGTTTCACGCTGTCAGAACCATGTTATAAAGAAGTGTATTGGAGTGTATTGAAGCCAAAAACTCGCATTAAAACTCACATTAATGCTCATCGAGTGAATTACAGAACATATGGTAGCTTTGCATTGGCGTTCAACTTGCTAGTACGATCCTCACCGACATCCTAACCATCCACATGAAGAGTGGGTACACTGTTGCATGAGTAGAGTGTCGTAAACAAGCAATTATAATCATAAATCTCGCATTAATTGAACTGAGCTCGGCCTAATTACTATTGTAAGACTCAATACGATTTGTCAACTGAGTTCACGTTTCACCTTGTTAGTGAATACAACTTTCATGGGACGACAATGTTTGTATCACACTCCTGAGGAACAGGCAGAGGCAGCTCGCAGATATAGGCACAGCTATTATGAAAGGTATGTTAAGACCGTGACGATGTTGGAAGCTTAGAAATGACTGGGAAATGTCAAAGGCTTCCAGAAAAGCGAAGAATAATGAGGATAAGGCAGGAAGAGATGTAGTGGCAAGTATTCTAACAGCTCGTCAGCCCAAGGGGGTGCGGTCACTGAACACCTACAAAGCTTATTCTAAGCTTTACTATGCTTCATGCATAAAGCCGGTAGTAGATGCCAAGATGAAAGTGCTCAAGCTTCCAGCGGGTGATGGAGGCAGTGAAGGGGATGAGGAGGGTGAGAAAGAAATTGAAGGGAAGGATGAGTCGACACAGAAGAAGCCCAAGGCCAAAAGAGTCACTGTGATGAAGCGAATTACAAGGGAAATGTATGAAACCGAGACTCCTGAGGTCAAAGCTGAGGTGGCAGCATATGTCAAGCAGATCAATGACGAGAAAACTCAACTGTTAGAGGCTGCCAAAGGTGGAGACGTAGATTGTCAGACATGCGTTCACACTTTATGAACGTTTGGAGTCTGCACTCACCTTCGCATGCTTTCAGAACTATTGATTGACTTGTTGATGTCCTCACCAAATTCTTCCAAGAACTTCAACATCTCACTGGGTGGTCCTACTCCTGTTTTGGGAGGAAAAATTGATGTTAGTAGTTTTCATGTTGGTTGTACAGAAATGGGAAACCTGTTCTCAGACACATATCCCAACTTCAATGGCAGGATTATGAAACCCTGGCTAGAATTTGTCAATCGAGTATATCGTGAGTGTGAATATGAATTCACTCACCGAAAACAATACTGATTTATACTCTCAGCTACTGCTGCAGCAAAGGCATCAGCAGGTGGTGTTCAAGGGATGAATGAACTGATAAAGATTGATAATGATGTATCAGTATCCCACGGCACTTCAGATGCATTTACATCCACACTACTCCCACCACTTGATGAGTCAGAGGAGCTCAGGTGCTTGGCAGACAACTTCCTTGCAACCTTTGGATCCCTGCTGCTCTCTTCTTAGATAGATGATCTATAGATAAATACCTATAAAACCAAATATCTCCACGGTCAGCAATCCAGACAAATACCAATGGCTGATAACGTGGTCATTTGTGGGGGCTTGTTGTATACTTCCCAAGGTATGTTCAGCTAAAGGTACTTCTGCAAGATCAGTAAATATGATGGTCAATCCAATCTATGGACTTGACAGAAACAAACAAACAAATAATGGTCACCCCAACAGTATGGCAATAACCAAGGAAATAGAAAGTTCTCCCTTAAGCTTCCTTTCAACAACAGTGCCTTGTACCAAACTGTACTCCAAAAAGAATGGTGCGAAATTACAATGATCAACCCCCTCAGCACAATACAGGTAGAATCAAAAGGTCAAGACTAGTCCAATGCTTTATTGTAGAACTCTTAGCTCAATATTGAACCTGCTGTCAAGGAACTCACTTTTGAGTATTCAAACAGACTCAGGAACGGACATCCTTGGATTTAATACCAAGTCCCCTCTTCAACAGCTAAAGTCTAGTAGGCACGGAAAACCTTGGCTCAGTATCGCTACTCAGATGAGTGAGGTCAAGCTTCACTATCAATCCCTAAAGTCTCCTCACTAAGCTACTCTGAGTCTTAGGTGGATGTAGAGACAACACAAATATTTTGGAATGTGTTTTTGGAAAAAGAACACCAAAGGCTGGTGAAAGTAAAACAAAAGAGAAAAGAAAATAGAAATTTGAATAAAACTGTGGCTGTACCTTGCTTGCTGGTTGTTGCACACAGTAAGCTCGCAGCTAGTCGTTTAGTATGATGAGCTTGCAGTATTACTGTCTCTTGAGAATGTTCCTCTCAGTCTTGAACAGTTCTTGACACTGATGCTGACACTTATCACACCTTACTCACAACTTAATGTTAGATGGGTGTCATATCCCGTATTCCGGACCTACATCCGATAATGTTCCCACGCCTCATCCGGACCTTCGGACGCCCTATCCATGTCTCCAGTCCTCTACCCATCCGGATCCCTGCACCTCTGCACATCCACATCCGCGCATCCATGTCCAGATCCCTTTACCTCCGAACATCGGACCTCCATACCTCCGCAGCTAGCCTGCATCATTCATCCTTTGTCCTATTGCCCTAATATCATATCCCGTATATCCACGCTTCTTGTCTGGACATCTGGTCCGGTCCGGTCCGGTCCGATCCGATATACGATAAGCTTCCTAATTCATTTCCTGTGCATATAACGTTAACACAGCCTATTCCTCTATTCGGTATTCCTTGTCCTCGGTTTCTCGGTTATACTTACTACCGGTACGCTTACTGATCCGTTAACCTATGCTTCATTTCCGACTCGCGCTTGATAACTTTGCTTATGCTTCATACATAGCCTCGGATGCTTGCTTACTGATCTTTCCGTTATTTCCTTAGTATATAAACTCTTGTATATGTCCTGTAGTTCCTCAGTCTGAATATCATATTAGTCCTCGCACTGGATCTCACTCTAAGTCCTCATATCAGTTCTAGTCTATCGACTTAGTCAATATCCATCTCGGGCCTAGGGAGAAATTCCCTAGGCCAGAGCTCCACTTATCCGCTCATCCGCTTATCCGCTCATCCGATCCTCCGAAGTTTCCGGACGTTCGTCCGAAACTTTCCCGTGGTCCTCCGGACCTATTCTGCTTCGGACTTTGTCCTTGCAGCCTTTCCTCTGTTTGCTTCTACTTAGGACTTGTCCTAAGTAGCCATTACACGTATCCGTATCAGGACGAAACCTCATCGTAATTTCCGGAAGTTCCTCCGGAACTTTCCCGCACTCGTCCGGAAAGTCCTTCCGAACTTTCCCGCGCTCCGGACGTCCTTCGGACGTCCTTGGACTTTCTTCGGACATCATTCTGAAATTAAGGGCACATACTCGGGTAAGGGGCGCAGCGCACGAGCTGAAGCCAAGCCCCTCAGAATCAGTCCTACCCTTTGTGCACGGTCTTAACAATGGGCTGAAAACTCCCACTTGGTGTTATGACTTGGATAGGTTGAGCCTTCTCTGGCCGAATGGCCAATCGTCTGGTGACAGAAGAATAGGTTCTAGACTTGGTCGAAGGCCAAGGTATCCTCCGATGAGCTTGGTAAGCATGGCAGCTCGTCAAGCTATAGGGCTAACGGATGTACAGCTAAGGTAGTGTTGGCTTGCCTTAGAAGTGTGGTCTAGACAGAGGGACTGGAGGTCACTCTGAAAGGATGTTCAAGGGAAAACCAAGTATATCAAAGTAGGGAATACAATGCTATGTATCTACATTATATAGGGTCTAACTACATAGTTCGGGAGGAGTCTGTATCTGTGGATCTATCCTAGTCAGAGATAAGATCATGAGGCAAGCCATGCTTGTCTGATAAGATGTATTGAGGTGCCTCTTCTATGTCAAGATAAGTACATGAGACACTCCAGCCTCTGAGTCCATCAACGCATGAGGTGGCATGTGTCGGTCTAGTTTTACATGAGGTGGACAGCCATCATGATGGGATTGGGAGGCCTTTCTAGGCTAGGGTGATGTCATAGCAGCCCAGGCTGCTCTAGGTATCCAGCAGCATCCAGGCTGCTCTAGGCTTCTGGCGGTGCTCCGCTGTGTCGGTAAGTCGGGAAGAGGGAGCATAGGGTGAAGGTGGCATGTTATTGTAACACTTGGTGCTACATATTATTTCAAAACTGGAATCATTATATACACAATAAATGTGGCTGTGCTACTAGTATATTCAAGAGTCATCAAGAGTCATAATGAGTCATTGGGTATTTTGCTAAGTCATCCTGGCTTGTTGCTAGTCATGTGACCTATCCAACTCCTGATGACAAGTCCAGAAAGAGAGTAAGAAATGTCACATGATGTGAATCCTTTGTGTGTCTGTCTTTTCTTTGCTTTGTTCGATGGGTTGAAAATGACGCGAGCCTAGTATTTAGGGTTTTACTAATGTTTTTCCAGGACAACATATGTGGGAAATATTTTTCACAGTCACCTGACATGCGTGGGATTTTTGTCTGGGTCATCACCATGGCTGACTAAGCAAAACTCATTGCAGAATTAAATGTACTAAAATATTCAGTCTGCTCACATGCAAACTCGTAAAAATGAAAAAAGCGAAAAATATTCCCTTAGCCTCAGTCTGACTTCAGAACTCAGGTTGATACTAGCTGTCCAGTCATTGATACCACAATTCGGACAAGCCCTGCTGTTGCAGTGACAGCACCTCATGCTACCATTTGTGGTGTCCTTCAAACCCTCCTGAAGCAGCAGAGTAAGTCACTCACACGTACTGCGCAACCTGTGATCACTCCACAGACTTCACCTTCCGATGTCATCTTATCACAGGCCATGCCTCACCCTAGTCCGCAGACACTGCCTGCACTACCTGACTCGACTTCACCATCCAATGTCATCTTACCACAGGCCTTGCCTGACCCCAATCCACAGCTACCTGACTCGACTTCACCATATGATGTCGTCTTACCACGGGCCTTGCCTGACCCCAATCCACAGACACTTCCTGCACTACCCAACTTGTCTGCTCCAGGGCTGGAAGAGGTGCTGTCTGGAGCATCATCCTCCGGTCAGCCTGTAGAAGTACCAGACATCAGTGTCAATGTTCCTCATGGTAATTCTCAGAAGTGCAAAAACTTGCAGGATAAGGCAGGTGTGGAACTACTGGTGGCAGAGCCGCCTGTCACAAGCTGTCCCAAATGTGCCCGTATCGAGTTGAGACGTAACAAGATTGCAAACTCAATTGGCCAGGAGAACACCACTCAGAAGAAATCCAAGACTCAAAAGTGAGTTTTTGGGGATGTGACTGGATGACATTGACCAATATCTTTTACCAGAAACCAGAATAAGAAGGCCAGGGAAAAAATTATGCTGTCCTTGTCTTGTGTGCTGAAGCTTTTGAGAATATCAATGTTTTTGGAAAGTTGCAAGTTCTTCGATGCACTGTATGATACATTACATCTTCTGCATGATACATCACAGCTTCATCAAATTCTGTGCACTGATATATCACAACTTCTTCAAATTATTTGCACTGTGTGATACATCACAGCTTCATCAAATTTTATTAGGGACTTTCAACTTGCTTTGTTGATCATTGATCAATGTTTCAAGGTTCATCAAATTCATTGCGGTGCATGATACATCACAGCTTTGTCAAGATTTATTAAGTAATGATGAGTTTAGTATTTCAGCGCTCAGCAAGGGACTTGGCCCATTAGACTGGGAAACCACGGTATCCAAATCAGCTAGATCTCATCAAATTGAAACTCACTGATCATTAAGTTGTACTGAAGTATTGATGCCGGTCATACACAAATTGTAATATAGCAAAGTTTTCTAGTGTTGGGTCATACTGCATTCAGCATTCATATTATACATAGAGGCGATAAATTCAAAGCCTTTTAAATGTCATCATATGATGCACGGGGAAACACCACATAGCACTTTTTCTACTTGAGGAAAAAGTGCTATGTGGCATTTCCCAGGTACAAGTCCGCATTAGGAAGGAAGAAACGGGGAAGAGATGATGTCACTCGAGGAACGAGAGCCACGTGGCATCTCCCAGGTACAATGTCTGAAGGAAGAAGCGGGAAGAAGCAAGGCAACAGGTACCAGTGTCACAAGTGACACATCAGTCAATAGCCTACCAAAAAGGTTCATGATTCACTAATATATCAGCCTACAGCTGCTGCCTGAATTTTTTTGAAGCCAGTTGAGCATAATGTTGAATTGTTATAACATTTTGCATATTAGGAACCATGGATATATTACAGGGAATGATAGTACTAGGGAAGCTCAAAGTTTTTGTTTTTGTTTTTGGGGTGGAACAATATTATCAACTAGCAACTGATAAGATCAATCCTAGAGGATACATTTTGGGGCAGGAATTTTACCCGTGTTAGTTACAGCCATGTGCAAAAACCTTGACAGTAGTGCACATGACACAAATACATTAGGAGATAAAACAAAATAAAGTTGTCCACAATTGTATGTGCCTTCCCTAGGCTAGTAGCTCATAACTGATTATTATCATATCTTTAATGACATACCTTCCATCTTCGATGAACTTTCTGATACTGCTGTTGAAACTGAACATAAAACAACTCCAACTGTCCCAGTGTAGGACTTGAAGTCCTTGTGGCCTTGTAGAGGTCTATTTTCCAATGCATGTTGAAATGCTAATCTTACACAAATAATTCCCTATTATATCCGACTCAATACACACCAAACCCGAAAACATCGGACATCGGACATCGGACTATTGGACATTGCATCGGGTTTCACATTGGCCTAATACTATATATTTCGCATACCTTCTACTTACTTATTTATCTTTCTACCTCCAAGTAGGAGGAGGTCATCTGATATTAGTAGTTCTTCACTGAATTCCACAATATCATCCTTTCTTTATCCGAAACACTCCAAAACATCTGACAGTAACTTGACATTTGCTATCCCCGCCATTTGCTAACTTTCCCGACACAATCCAACACAACCCAACATAATCTGCTAATCTGAAAGCCCAAAAACATCGGACCTGACATTTTTACCTTCAGACATCGTAATTATATCTTCAGACTTTGTTTCCATTGCTCGGACTATCTTCCTTTTCATATAACTAATTATTCTAATACCTCACAGTGAACCCCTCAGGTCAAATGCACTTGTCTTGCAAGTATAGCAGACTAGGCTGTGCTAGACCACAACATTTTAAATTGCTGGTTACTTACTTCGTGTAGTGACCAGCAATTGTTGTTTCATTACACCGCCAAACTTGGTCATTCATTGGTGTCTTGCTGTTTAAGTTGTGTACAGCATACAGCATTAACACTAGGTTCATCATTGTTTGTTGTAATGCTTGGGCTCGTTGTAATGAGACAACAATTGCTGGGTACTACACGAAGTAAGTAACCAGCAATATTAAATGTTGTGGTCTTGCGCGGCCTAGTCTGCTATACTTGTAGACAAGTGCGTTCAACCCGAGGGGTTCGCTGTAAGGTATTAGAATAATCAGTTATACTAAAAGGAAGATAGTCTGAAGCACGAGAAACACAGAGTCCAAAGGTATAATTATAAGTCCAAAGGTGAAAATGTTGGGTCCGATGTTTTCAGGTTTCAGGTTTCAGGTTAGCGGGGTACGTCGGGTTACATCGGATTAGTGTTGGGAATGTAATGAATGTCGGGGATAGTGAATGGTGGGTTACTGTCAGTGTTTTCGGAGTGTTTTGGATAAAGAAAGGATGATATTTGCGGAATTCAACGAATATCTAATGACCTCCTCCTACTTGGAGGTAGAAAGGTAAATAAGTAAGTAGGAGGTATGCAAAAGATATAGTGTCTATGTAGAATTTCAGAGCACTATAGGCGAAAGTAGTAGCGGTAATTTTCGGATCTGATGTCCTATGTAATAAGACATGTGGTACTGCGGACATGTAATAATGCAGTCTACAGTGTTAGCAATGTGAAATCAGATAACTACGCACCTAGTGGGGATAGATATGACAGGACAGGACATAGGGAGGACAAATGTGCGGGAAAATATTGGGTCCGATGCGTGGGAAACATCAGGTCTATCGGATTAGTGTCGGACTACGTTGGGTTAGTGTCAGGTTAGCGGATAAATGTTAGATTGAGCGGGTAAGTGTCGGATAACATTGGGAAGTGATTCAAGTGTTTGACATGCATTGGGAATTAGCTGAATATGTGCTCAGTGCGAGCCTGAGTGCTACATTGTGTTGGGCCCATATTAGGCTATTTGATGGTACAGGTCAACTGCTACACATTGCTCAAGCAGCACACATTAAATCTAAAAAATATTAGACATTGGATTATCAGACATCACATTGGACATTGGATTTTGCATTGACCTATCAGAAAACATCCTCCCTATGTCATGTCCTGTTATATCTATCCCTACTAGGTGTGCAGTTATTCATTTTATATCACTAACATTGTAGACCACATTATTATATGTCTGCAGTACCACATGTCTTATTCCATAGGACATCAGATCCGAAAATTATCACTACTACTTTCACCTATAGCCTTCCAAAATTCTACATAGACACTATATATTTCACATACCTCCTAACTATTACTACTTACTTTTCTACCTCTGAGTAGCAGGAGGTCATCCAATATTAGTAGTTCTTAGCTGAATTATGAAATATTATTCTTTCTTTATCTGAAACACTCCAAAACACCAATAGTAACCTGACATTCACTATTCCTAACATTCTCTACCCTTCTGACATATTCCTAACACAATCTGACACCTAACCTAACCCAAAAGTATCAGACCTGATGTTTTTGTCTTTGGACTAACTTTTTTTTTGTATAACTAATTATTCTACTTCCAAACAGCTAACCCCTTGGGTCGAATGCACTTGTATTGCAAGTATAGCAGACTAGGCTGTGTAAGACTACAACATTCATATTTGGCTGGGTGCTTACTTTGTGTAGTGTCCAGCCATTGTTGTATTCCTATATTGTCTTCTCAGTTTTGGCGCCGCTTAGGAGTTTCTTATGTATTTTATTAGTTTCCAACATTATTCCCTGAAACCTAAATCTGAATCTGACCAACCTGACATTTCACTTCAGATATCATAATTATACCTTTGGACATTGTTTCCCACACTCAGATTATTGACCTCACACCCATTACTAACCACTAAGACTTTTTCCAGACCGCAGACCCTTAGGTTGAATGCATTTGTCACTCAAGTATAGCAGATTAGGCAGTGCAAGACCACAACACATATATTGTTGGTTTGGTGCTTACTTTGTATAGTGCCCAACCATTATTGTATCTCTACATTGTACATTGGCCATGTTATCATATCTGTTGTCTTTAACTTCAAAATGTCATGCTCTTATCTGTTCTTCAATCACTTGTTTACTTAGTCATGCTACCTTCATATCACTGTTCTTAGATGTTCTCTAAGTCTTCACTTCTTATAAGCATACTGATGACTAGGGTCAAGTTTGAGATTGTACATGTTCTCGACTCTGACTTGGAAATCAGTGGAAATATAGCAGGGATATGAGGCTTATAAAATGATGCTCATACAGACAGTTTTTTAACTTAAGTATTTTATAGTGATAATTAGGTATTCTAGTATTTTATATGACCTCTCTTAGCTTTAATTATTGCTTCTATCCTTCTAGGCATACTCTTAATCGACTTCTGGCAATTCTCTGCTGTAATATTTCTCTATTCTACTACTACCCTCTTCCATAGCTTCTATACTCTTTTAGAAGGGGTTTCATAGGCTTGAAGCTTCTTCTTGAGTGCTCCTCAGAGATGTTCAATGACATTGATATCAGAAGATTGTGCTACCAGTCAACAATATTAATACTGTATTCTTTAAACCATTCTCTGGCTCTTCTGGATATATGCTTGAGATCATTATCTTGTTGGAAAATGATGACTTCTTTATTAATTCCTGATTCAGCTATACTAGGCAGCAAGTGGTCATTTAAAATATCTACATGCTGTTCAGCATCTATCCTCCCCTCAACCTCAGCAAGCATTTCCATATTATTGCATCTCATATAGCTCCATACCATTATAGAATGTACTCCAAACTTAATAGTCTCACTAACCTATCTGTCTGTTAGAGCATCATTCTTTATTTTCTATATATATACCTTTCTATACAACCCAATCCTATTGATTTTGGTCTTATCTGACTATATAACACACTTTCAGTCCCTTATAGTTCAGTTTTAATGGGCCAAAGCAAAGGCTAGTCTTCTCTGCCTATGTTTGATAGAGAGAAGAGGCATGTTTTTCTTTGTTACTACCTTGAGATAAGCTGTCTTAAAAACATTTCTCCCACACAGTAATCTATTTCATGCTAATAACAGCATCTATCACATAATGCTTAAATAGAAGCCCTGAAGCAGTACTACAATATGATATCAGAATGCTCTTAAGGTGTTTGTGTATAATATCATAGATAGTAAAAATATAAAAACATATAAACAGTTTTTGAGCCACTGTATAATACTTACACTAAGTTGTCTTTATAATCTTGCCTCTTATTCTACTAGTACTAATACATTATTTTGATCAAAGATGCTTAAATTAGACAAAGAATTGATGTACTTATGTGCTATCAACAGAGCAGCAGGTGATGACTTGATTTAAGAATTAAAAAGGCTTACACTCAATGGAGGATCAACATACTCATATAAGCAGTCCACTCGCCTGCAGACGGTCATTCAAGTTGTCGATTTGTTACAGCAATAAACAATTGTAAACTATGTTTGTGGTGTCCCTATCCTCATTCGACGCTGACCACAACACTCTAATATGCCGATGATTGCGCACTCTCGATAGTGCTGTGTACAGCTGACCATGTGCGAACATGTCAGTCTGAAGGTCGAGCACGGTCCATCACAGAGTCAGGCCCTGCAAGCCGTTGAACATTGTCGTGTATGTGGCATGCAGCAGAAACTGTCTGTGATTCACCGTCCAACTCAACCTTGGCGGATTGAAAGCAAAAGTGATGCGGGAAGACAGTGGATCTTGCCTGTCTGTGGCATCTGTACTTCCACGAAATGTCTGTGCAGTGCTGGAGCCCCTTCAGTAACATTTCCTGACTTAGTCGGACAGCCAAAGGTTGAGATTCGACCCAGTGAGGCGGGCCATCCAACGTGGGCCCAAGCATAGCTGATCACGGATGGGCCCACAGCTGGGAATAGTACCCATGCTGGCGGGTCGGCCAAGTGTGAGATCAATAGGATACAGGTACTGAGAGTGACGGATGGGCCCTGTATATATGTCTCAGAAAGAAGAACGGATTGGCCCAGCTGAATATTCTATATCCATGTCATCTCGGAAGGGCTCTGCTAGTGATTTTGGGCCCAAGCGCTGACCAGTAGGTTTTGTTTTGGCCCAGCATGTTATCTCGGAAGGGCAGATGGTTGGGATTTGATATCGGAAGAGCTGGCCAATCATTTTTGGCCCAAGAGAAGATGTCGGAAGGATTGGCGGTTGGCCCAGCTGATATAGGAAGGGCCGACTAGTTATTTTTTGGCCCAGGAGAATGTGGATATGATCTCGGATGGGCCAACGGATGGGCTCGAGAAAACATGCAGTTGATGTTGGAAGGGCCGACTAGGTTTGTTATCAGCCCAGGAGAATACTAAGACTGGCGGTTGGGCTCAGCGAGTAATTTGTGGGCACAAGTGCCGACTAGCAGTTATTTGTTGTCCCAGCATAAGAGCCGGCTGGTGGGCATGCATCTGATATCGGATGGGCTGGCCGATTGTGTTTGGGTTCGGGAAATGATTTTTGGGGAAGGATTAGCGGTTTAGCCCAGCAGATCCCGGGAGGGCCGACCACTCATTTTTCGACTCATCCAGGAGAATTGCATATAATCTTGGAGAGGAAATGGTTTGGCTCAGGAGAACAAACATTTGATATCGGAAGGGCTGACTAGTTGTTTTTCAGCCCAGGAGGACAATCAAGTTATCTCGGAAGGGCCAGCTCGTTATATGTCAATATGTATACAATTTTGGAAGGGCCGACTGTTGCGCCCAGCTTATTTTCAGTGTGATATCGGAAGGACTGAAGGTTTAGCACGGTTGGTTATTTTACCACGGGTGTACACCAACCGATTACACAAACGGTTGGGCCCAGCTAGTTATGATTGGCCAAGGGAATATGAATTTAATATCGGAAAGGCTGACCATTGAGCCACCTTAGTTCTTTGATGATTCACAAAAGATATAATTTCGAAAGGACCAATTCACCATCATACTATCAACGACGATAAGCATCTGATTTCCACTTAAGTCATGTTTCAGATGAATTTGTTTCACATAAGTCAGTTTGATATCTTAAGGCTCGGAAGACTATGCCTCTGAGCTCCACATGGGTCAGGGATGATGAAATTTGTGACATCGGCAGGCGGCAGTGATATCGGAAGGGGATGGTTTTGCTGCGTATCCCTGATTAGTCTTGGAAAGGTAGACAAATGGCCAATAATTGGTCTTCAAGGATGTGGATTGAATGAATTTCACACTGGAAGGTGTTACAAATGGAACAAACAAATGTCCGTTTGGTCCCAGCAGACTGCGATTGTTGGACCAACCAACCTCACATGTTTGTGATCGGTAGTTAGAATTGGATATTTTGAGATCAGTGCCTATAATTTGTGGAAGGAATATCTCGGGTGACCATGTAGTTATATATATTGACATGGTACGTGAACGACTGGTGAAAGTGGAATAAAGGAACGGCATGAATGCAACCCGGAACATATTCCGTTCTGAGATCCATACACCGGGCGCGTGGCAAACATTATTCGGCGGTCAGTATCATTACGGATGTTAATCCTAATGCAAATATGAGGTGAGGTAGGGATGCAACTTGCCGGATGTTCCTGACATGATATTCAAGAACATGATTCGGAGTGGTAATTATCGCCAGAATGAGATATGTAAAGCTAGCATTTTTCTCTGTGCCTAAGTGAGCATAAGTGCATTGTGAGAAATGATCACGGGAGATACGGCATATCAATGCCAGAGCCTGCTATGCATATGCTGACACATGTCGAAGGGTTCTTTCCATCAAGGGTGGGAGATACAGTGGGATCAGAGGACGAATCATCCTGTCATGGAGTTGCACTATATTCTACATTGACATTAGGACGGAGCATTATATGTAATGGCATTAATATCATCAGATGTATGAACAGCTGGTATGTATACAATCCGGCGATATAAGTGGATCATATTTTAACCACTTACAGGCGCATAAAGTGACGCATATCTTAACCAGACAGGTCAATATATTGTAGGAAGCAACAATGCAGTCTATATCTACAACATACATGGACCCGGGACCGAACTACAGAGGACGGCGACCGGGAACAGCATAATAAAGAAAACAGTAGCTAAAAGTACAACATATAAATATATACATTGTCAACCTGGTACTATTACATTAAGTTTTCCGGAAACTTGTTGGTTCTAGATGTACTGTAGGTGCTGACACTACTATCTACCGGGCATCTGAGGCGTTGAGCCTTTGCTCCAGTGCGTCTAACCGCTGGTGGAGGACATTCTCCACCGAATGCACTCTTACCTCCAAGGCATCCACCCGCTCATTGGTGGCCAGGAGATCCAATCTCCTACCGAGGTCCCGGATGCCCTGCAAGATGTCTCTTGCAGTTGGCTCGGGATCGGTGCGGTTTTCCAGTGCAGGCTGATTGCCCTGTTCCGGCCGACGGCTTGTGCCAACGGTTGGGACTGTGCTCATGGGCACACCAGCCGGCGGGCCAGGCTTCTCTAAGAGTCATTTGGATTAGTTTCAAGTCCCTCATCGGATTTGAAAGCAAACTCGCCTCCAACTATTTTGAGCTCAACCCGAGGGGGTTGGGCAAGTGATCTCTTACCCGGGGTCTTGGAGATCGCGCAGGACGTCTTCATGCGTGTTCTGGAGTTTCTGGCTGGCTGTGATGTAGCCGCGGCCGCCTTTGCTTGCATTCTCTGCCTGACACCGACGCCGTCGATCGCACAGGTGATCTTCATCTGGTCGCAGTTTGCACATGCAAGTCGAGTGTATCCAAACTTTTTGTCCGGAAGGACAATGCAGGGTATATCCAATTTCGTGCACTTGTCGCACTGCCAAGGATGGTAATGAATGGAATGCTTGAAATATGTTAGCCGCAAACTCCTGCTATGTACTGACAGACTTACCTTCCACAGTGTTGCGATCTGAGAATCTTGACCCCATTTGGCAGGCTAAAAGAAAAGTGTATCATATCTGTTTCGTCGGCGACATCATCTTCCACTTGCCTTTTTTTATCATTACGATGTTGTCTGTGAGTCTTCTCCCGTGTCTTTGGGTCCCATGTCAAAACAGTCTGCTCTGGCGTCTTCGTGGGCGCCATTGAGCTGGGCAGAGGGGTGAGTGGTTCCAAGGCCTTTGTTAAAGTTGGCGGGGGAGAATGAGGTGCCATGGCACCAAAAGTTTGCAAGGAAATCGTATCTTGAGGTTTTTCCGTGTGGGGGAGAAGCTTTACGGGAGTCTGGACATCAGCTATGGGACTGCCTTTCGGACCGTCAAGAGATGGAAATGATAAGACAGCTTGTTGCACATCCATCTGAGCGAGAGAGGCAAGATCAGGTTCTGTCTTGTCGGAACCGGTAGGAGCTCGATAATGGATAGTCTTCTGGAAACATGGATGATCCTTAATGCATGGGTCATTGTCGCCGATGGTTGTCCAGTCCGGCGACGATGTAAACATGCCGCCTTTAGCGTACTGCCGTACGACCGCTGCGCATGACAGCAGCTGTGGAGAGAATGAAGTTGCGCTCCCTCCATAGAGTTTTAAATCTTTTGCCTGAAAAAAATGATGTCTGCAATCCAAAATTAACTAGACAATCAACGGCAACCGGACGTACCAAGCGCCTTGCAATCTCATCCAACAATGCCAACGCCGTCGCTGAATCGCCTTCTTTCAACTTCATACATCATTTGATAAGGGATTGAACATCTTTCAAAGTATCATTGAGGGCAGCATTTGCTTCTTCGGAAGGTGTCATAGGAGTATGTGACCGATGTTGGTGAGTTGGGGTAATGTGATGTGGAAGGGAAAGAGGAATGACTCTGAGAAATTTTACGACTGTCGGGATCAATACCAATTTGTCGGTTGTGGGTGTTTCCAAGACCGCATGGCGAACATAGAACAGCAGTGTTAAGACCATGCACAAAGGGTAGGACTGATTTCAAGGGGCTTGGCTTCAGCTCGTGCGCTGCGCCCCTTACCCGAGTATGTGCCCTTAATTTCAGAATGATGTCCGAAGAAAGTCCAAGGACATCCGAAGCGCGGGAAAGTTCGGAAGGACTTTCCGGACGAGTGCAGGTAATTTCCAGATGAGTGCGGGAAAGTTCCGGAGGAACTGCCGGAAATTACAATGAGGTTTCGTCCTGATACGGATACGTGTAATGGCTACTTAGGACACGTCCTAAGTAGAAGCAAACAGAGGAAAGGCTGCAAGGACAAAGTCTGAAGCAGAATAGGTCCGGAGGACCGCAGGAAAGTTTCGGATGAACGTCCGGAAACTTCGGAGGATCGGATAAGTGGATGAGCGGAGGATTGGACAAGCGGAGCTCTGGCCTAGGGAATTTCTCCCTAGGCCTGAGATGGATATTGGCTAAGTCGGAAGACTAGAACTGATATGAGGACTTAGGGTGAGATCTAGTGCGAGGACTAATATGATATTCAGACTGAGGAACTACCGGACATATACAAGAGTTTTATATACTAAGGAAATAACGGAAAGATCAGTAAGCAAGAGTCCGAGGCTATGTATGAAGCATAAGCAAAGTTATCAAGCGCGAGTCGGAAATGGAGCATAGGTTAACAGATCAGTAAGCATACCGGTAGTAAGTATAACCGAGATACCGAGGATAAGGAATATCAAATAGAGGAATAGGCTGTGTTAACGTTATATGCACAGGAAATGAATTAGGAAGCTTATCGTATATCGGATCGGACCGGACCGGACCGGAGGTTCGGATGAGAAGCGTGGATATACGGAATATGACATTAGGGTGATAGGACAAAGGATGAATGATGCAGGTTAGCTGCAGAGGTATGGAGGTCTGATGTACGGAGGTAAAGGGATCTGATGTTGATGTGCAGATGTGGATGTACAGAGGTGCAGGAATCCGGATGGGTAGAGGACTGGAGACATGGATAGGGCGTCCGAAGGTCCGGATGAGGCGTGGGAATATTGTCGGATGTAGGTCCGGAATACGGGATATGACAGGCAGCATGGACCGATATAATATAATAATAATGTAATAGAAGGATTTCACCGATCATTGTCCCACATATTTGGTCTCCACAGTCGGTGGTCCACAAATCAAGGTATATCTTGGCACCTCGTCGCTTTCTCGAATTCATTTTCACACAAACATTCATGTCTGAGAGACATGTTCATTTTGCCACTCCAGTCTCTTCGGAGGCTGGCGACTCACTCACTCCAGATGCTGGTGACATATGGACTAGCATCATGTTCAATTCTAATCCCACTCAAGATCATGGTGTTGTATCAAATGACTCCCCGGTAGAGCCACGCCCCGCATTGCAGGAGGACCCCATTGATTGGTGGGGCACATATGTCCCTTTAGAGTCGTGGGTTCCTCCAATACCGGATAGCATTCCGAGATTCCAAGGAATCGTCGGATTGGAATCCTATCCGATATATACATGCAAGTTCACCTTATAACCCCTATCAGCCGGTAATGATTAAAACATTTCCTTGGCAGTATATAAATTATGTTCCGAGTTACCCCATAGCTATGAATATCAGGTTGATTCTGTAGGAAAGCAAGAGAAAAGTAAGTTGTTACCTGGATCACTGGCATTGCTGAATCAACCTTGTCCCATAGATTACGAACTATGTTTTAATGGTGACTTTGATGAAGTCACAAGCATGCTGTCAGGTGAGTGCCATATTAAAGCCGAACATCGTTGATCTTACATGTTGTACTAGACATGTATGTTGTAGAGTTGCTCCACATGCCCAACTTTTTGACAGCCCGGCATTCCTGGTCAATGCGAGACATTGGTTTGTCACTGGCCGTCCAAACATCGGCAGAAGGTGCTTTGCTTCATTTGGTTATAAAACTCAACTAACTCACCAGATTAGGCTGCACAAGACCGGAAGGTAAGCAACAGCTGGCACTCACAATGGAGCTGATTTATTTGAACCCAACAGAAGATCTGGTACAATTGACCACAAGAACTCACACCGTCAATGACGATATTGAATCAACGCTCCCAACATATCATCCCTATGATTGTGGATGGGATGATACCATTTCAAATCCTTCAGTTTCACCTGAAGAATCGTCGCCGATGGATCCGTACGATTGTGGATGGGAGGATGACATCAATGTTACATCCCAGGAAACAATCATGCCGTTAGAGGAAAGTGAGTACATTATTTGCTTTCAGAAATCATAACTGACCCATTGTTAGTATTAACGGATGTAAGATCAAACGGAGGTAAGTACGCACCGGGCGCCAGGCAACAGTGTCATTTGACAAAACATCACAGCAAATCCGACTGAATTGTCCTACCGTCCTAGCGACAACATGCCATTTCCTATGGATGCTCCGATAATCAATGAGACGGTGCCCCTGAACGAGTCATTGACAGAAGATCTATATGACTGTGGATGGGGCGATATTGTGACTGCTGCAGCCATACAAGCAACAGATGAAAGTATGTGGGTCATTTACAAAGCGATGTGAGCTGACCAGGTGCAAAGATCTCACAGCTAATGCAGGTAAGTCACCGGTCTACTGCCAGGGATCGGTCTTACTGGACTCCATAGACATTGCGGCTGAGTCATCATATTCCAAGGGCGAGATGATCGCATCTGCTGCACCGGCAAATGATCCTTACTATGTCGGATGGGATGATCCTATGGACGACAGTGAACCTGCAGAAATTGCTTTGATGGCCGATCCGTATGATTGCGGATGGCAGGATGGCACAGTTCTGGAACATGATATTATGCCGGGAGACCCTACTGACGATCCATATGACTGTGGGTGGGGTCCATCCATGAATGTTGAGACCCAATATCCAGCAATGATGGAGGAAGAGGTTGCAAATAATGATGTCGACGACGGGCAGATGGCTGGCATGGTGCTTTCGGGCGCTGGCATGGAAAGCAGGGATGACCTTTATGATTGTGGGTGGGAAGATCCGATGGAGGGACCAACCATCATGCGGCTATCGGTGGACCGGACATTCTACGTGGAAACAGATGTCATTAACCTTACGTCTGAATCAGCCAGCCGATCGGTGGACCGGACATTCCATGAGGAGACGGATGTCTTTGACCTTACGTCCACATCAGACAACCAATCGGTGGACCAGACATTCGGTAAGGAAACAGATTTCCTTGACCTGATGTCTACATCAGCCAATTCAGGTATGTCATTTTTCACTGTCTCCATATTTTCTAATTCTGGTGGTTGCAGAGAGATCCATGTCTCCAACCGAACCCAACACATTCCAAGAGGTGGGAGAGTCCATGCGCCGCGCGATCCGACAGCTCAACAGCATAGGACATAGTGACTGTGAGTTTTCTGCATTTCCACTCCGATTACAGCTTACTTTCGTGTCGGACAGTCAATAGATATGTTCGCAACATTGTCGCACCAGGGGATGGACTTGTATATGACTCACGACCAGGACTCACATTCATGGCCAACCAGAATTTGTTTGGTGCATATGCTGAGGCAAGAGATCGGGTAACCAACCTCGGGGCTGACATCATAAACATCCATCGTTTACTCAACATTCACCGCCGGATCATGTACCCACTAGATGCGATGATAACCAGAGTGGAGCAGGAGAGGGATAGTATGCTATGACTATAGTTCCCTATGTAATCTAATATACACAAGGTTTGTATCACCTGCAATCACGAGAAACATGTTACAATATACACGACATGTGCCCGACCGATAGAATGACATCAAAGACACATCACAAAGTCCATTAGTCGTGACCAGATTGTGGTCTGTGAGTGACAGCTATCAGAATAGACACCCCGCGCCCCCCTCCCCCTCCCCCTATACAGAGACCCACATCAATCAAGGTTTTACATAATCGTTGTACCGAGAGTTGGGTTTCCGGGAACATTTACCCGCACCTGTTTGTGATGTCTTGCTCCTGGTCCATTTCAAGGGAGACCCATCGGTAGCCTGTTCAGTAACTTGTTTCTTCCCTGCCATTTTACCAACCTGTCTCACAATCCCCTTGGCCTGTTCAATTGCCACTTGACGCCTCGTCCGTTTTGCGGGAGACCTTTCCAACGATTCTTCAGCAGTCCTTTTGTGAACTCGGGTTTTTGCTCGGGTGATATCAGCAGTATTGACTTCCTGTGCAGGCCATTCAACCTGTACCCTGGGTGCACTGGCTGTGAGTTCTGCGCATGTTGCGGAAGGTTCATGCTCGACGCCTTTCCCGCCATGCTTGCGGACAGCATTCTGCGGGCGTTCTACCACTCTCCTCATCTTGTTGGGCTGGATATTTACTGTGGCGGGCATGCTAGGAGATGCAGGAACATCCTTTTTGGTTCTTTTGCCGGTGCTGACCAACTTTCCGGGTTGCTCATCATCGCTGCTTGTGTTGTTGCTGCTACTCATGGAGACCTGCCGTCTTCTCTTCCCTTTAGACTTGTTTGCTTTTTGCTGACTCGGAATCTCATCCTCTGAGTCGTCCAATCTGTCAACAGACTCAGCAGTGGTGATCGGTTGGTCGTTGACTTCATCGGCAGATGACTCATGTCCCTTGCCCTTCTGTGGACAATGCGGCAAGCTAGCTCCCTTTCTTTGAGTTGTTTTGGAACTCTGCATTTTCTTGGTATCTAGACGCGATGCTGATCTTCCTTTGGTAGACCGCTGTGGTTCAGGTTGCTCCCGGTTCCGGTTCCGGGACTGCGACCGCTGCTTGGGTTGTCTGGTTGTTTCTGTTGGCTTCGTCACCGGTACATCAATGTCGGCTGCCAGCACCATATCCTCTTTATCATTATCCCACCAACCAATGAATTCCAATACACGCGCTTCGCCTTCCTCCTGTCGGTTGTACCAGAATTGTAGCAGCTGAGCAGCGTGAACCTGCTTTAGCTTTGATGGCTCTGCAAGACTGTGCCCTTCGGGAAGACATTCTGCAGGTATGATCTCCGTGTATCTTGGTATCACATACTTCCATGGAACGGAAATTTTTGGATCTCCGCAACATTTCCCTAGCAACATTCAGATCACCCTCAAAGTGGGAGAGATGCCGACCTACTATAATGCCATGTTAAAAATGCTCGGATCACCGCTTTCTTCATATCTAGATCCACAGAGTCACATGCAGGGAGCACAGGATATCCGTCATTGCCCAGCTGAAGAATATAAGTCTTATCCTGTCGACCCTTCTTCCTGGTGACAACAGCATCGCCGTCCAAGTTACCGTCTGTTTTGCGTCAGCATGAATCTTCTGGCAGCATATTAAGGTCATTACCGAATGCGCTCTCGGCATAGAAATCCCATTCTGGCAAAATGATATCCCAGTTATGAGTCTTCATGAAAGAGTCTGCACTGCCATATTCATTGTTATAGTCGTGACTGTCGGAAATGTGAGAGGAGACATGGCAAAAGGATCGGATCACTCACCCGGCATCATGGATCTTACCCTCCTCATTTTTCCAGGCAGATACAATGAAGACCCTCATTCCGGCACGGTTCCACATCTCGGTCACAAAATGATGAATCATATCATCGCTTTTTTGCCTAGCAATGTCAGCCTTGACGTCGTCCGGAACACCTTGACAATTCCACAATTCAGCTGTCTCTTTGGCTTCTTGGAGCTCATCCGGTGACAATGATGCAATGAGCTGGTTAAGCTGCTTGGTGTAGTGGTTGATCATCTCTTTTGTGCCAGGCTTGGCTCCAGTCTCATCCTGAATTTTTTCTAACAGTTCCTTTTTTCGGAGTGTGTCTACCACACTTCGTTCAGTCCATTTCTGCCCTATCTTGATAGGAGGTTTCGATGGCTTCCTCTTTGTCCCTTAGCTTCAGAACCATGCCTCATAGGCCTGTGTGATGTTTTAGCTGGTTTTGTGGTGACAACAACAACAACAACAATGGTGATCATGATGAGAGACTCACCACTTTCCGATCCTTCAGTAGTCTTATAGACATCACTGGAGCCTTCATCCGAGCCTTGGTTGCAGCTGCTTTGGAGACCTTCTTTCATTCCAATGGCTCAGCTGAGTCCCATTGCTCAATGTAGGACTTTAGGATTGTAACCTCCTCCTGATTCAACAGAGGCTGCTTCCTGGTGTCAGATTCAGAGGCAGAGTCGTGGTCAGACATTATGGACTTAAGAGGATAGCAATAGAATTTAGTGATAGTGTGTGTTTGCGTGGGATTGTCAGTGGGTGTAAAATATGTGCAGTAAGTTATTTGCCCTCCTTTCATTTTGGCTAGTAAGTGAGGGGTAGTGGCTATTATGTGTCTACAATGTCTTATGTATCTTAATTCACACAACTTCATACCAAGTTCATGGGCAAATCAAGAGTGAGGATGTTGGCTCCACAAAGACCAGTTCAGCTAGTCGAATGGAAAGTAAAAGATACTACTCAGGGCCGGAAAGGGAAATGGTGTCCAGTCAAACGACCCCAGCCAAGTCAGTCAGCCCAATCATCCCCAACAAAGTCTCCCGCCAAACAAACTTTGAATCTTACAAACCCTCAATTTACACCCGACTTCAATTCCCATCATGCAGACTGGAGTGGTCATGACCCCATTGGTCCGCTGAATGTTTGGTTAAAGAAAAGAAAGACGAAGATGCGCAATTTGTTTGCCATCCTGCCAAGGCTGACCAGGCTCCCAGAGCCCAAACGATTATCTCCGTGAATGGATATCTCGGAAGGACGATTACCTTCGGCTCCTCTTGGAATGGGAGGTACCACCTACAAACAAGTCTTGCTCATTATGTGGTGTAAATTTGGTGGTGTATTGGTGCCATGATTGCCTCGGCGATCCTATGATTTGTGCCAAATGCTGTCGACATGAGCACAGGCGATTGCCATTTCACAAGATTAGCAAATGGAATGGGAGCTTTTTTGAAGAAACATCATTAACCAAGATAGATATGGAAATTCATCTCGGGCATGGTGGGCTGCCATGTCCGGTTCTGGAAAATGCACATGAGTGGGAGGACATGGACGAGCCTGTGTATGAACCTTCCTATGATTGCTCAGCTATACCGGAGCTGCCTTTCCTTCACAGCAAGGAATGCACAACCATGGTTGACAAATCCAGTGTCCATTCCCTGATGATCCGGTATTGTAAATGCCCAAATGCATGTACCCCGGACAAGCAGCTATTTGCGATAGGAATGTTTCCGGCATCTTTCAGTCAGCCGAAGTCAGCATTCACATTTTCTGTACTGGACGGCTTTCTGCTTGATAACTTAGAATGTGGAACATCAGCTATGAATTACTACAGTAAATTAAGGAGAATGACATCTAGCATATTTCCGCATTCAGTCCCGATATGTATGAGGTGCTGCCAGGTCATCCATGTATGAATTAACATCAAAACAGGACCGCTACAGGGAATTGATGCGCGTGGGACAGCAATGGTGTCAACTAAAACTGCTTAAATGGAACAGCTTCACTCACGACAAAAGACAACCGGAATCTGGTGAACTTGCTCTGTTTTGCCCAGCGTGCCCGCAACCTGGAATAAATGCGCCGCAGCCGGCCAAAAGAAACAGCGATGATCCGGAATGGTTATATGCCAGATCTCTGGTCATGGATGGTAATTTCAAAGCAGAACATTGGCATCCTACTCATCCAGAAGATGAAGTATGGTTGACCGATGGCCTATGCTTCATGGTAACCAGAGACAAATACAAGGCCCATCTAGCTGGTGCCAACGAACATGTTCAAATGTTAGAATGCAACAACCACCAGGCTGTGAATCAAACGAATGCTTCCCGACACAAACTGGAAGCTACAGGAATTGGTGGTTGCGCATGCGCTCGACATGGCTGTTTTGTACCTCATTCCATTGTTGATTTCCAGAAAGGGGAACAGTGCGGTAACCAATTTCACTGGCTTTATCCTCCTTGACATCATTGATCAGACAAATGAATATGGACTACACTCTTTGTCATGCTTTGAGCCATCACACCAATGGACTCACTCGAGCCTTGACATTCTATGACATCAACTGCCAATATAACAAGCATTTCCGGCGCAGGGTAAACGAAAGTTCATACATGAGCATCCCTGCCGGTATGGAGATCGTACCGGGAATAGGACTGTGGCATGTCCATGGCCATCAGGACAAGTGCTATGTAAGGTATGCATCAACCTTTATTACAGGAGCAGCCAGAATAGATGGGGAAATTATGGAGACATTATGGGTGCCCTTAAATATTATATCTCCTTCTGTGAGAGGGATGTCAACCCCGCATCGACAAGAGTGTCTCGACTACCAAATGAACGACTCTAATTTCATGAAAACGATCAGAATGAGTCGGGACTCCTATCCTTTGCTCAATAATTGGCGCTCATGATCTCCAGGTGGTTTTCTATGTCGGAAATATCAAGACACTGTCAAGGGAGTTTCCGAAAGCACGGCAGCATTTCAAAAGCTCGATGATGCCACTGATCCGGCCATAGTTGAAAAATGGGAAGAACAGGATCAACAAGCACAAATACGGAGACTGGCAGATCCTTCGGCAATGGATGTCTTTGACGTGCAGCTACAAAATGGTGTGTCACGCTAACTATGCTTCCGAACTACATCACCAATTGGATGTGAATAGCACCGACGCGAAAACAACAAGAGCTGGCCTTGCTGGCTCGTGTTGGCCGTGGAGTAGGGAATGCGCAATGGGGTGCTGCCACATGGATCACATCTGGGATAACGATTGAAGAGCTGCAGATATCTGTGTTGATGGACATCCGGAGGTTGGGAAAACATCCCACCGAAACACAGCACTTGGAGATAGGGAGACGCCGGACAAAGTTGCAAAACCGGATAGATGAATTTACCATTGCTGCAGTCAATCATCTCGGAGAGGACTTTGATCTGGATGATGACATCAAAGATATGGAGGTTGAATTCATAGATGATTCAGAGCAAGAAGTGGACGCTGTTACCGACAGTGAACATGATTCCCATGAAGATCCGCGATGCAATGTCTTCCGTCCCGAGAATGTCATTATACCTCTTCCATCTAATATCGGCATTGATAGATGCATGGAGCTGGGCATCGGCCACCTAGTTGGTCAGGAAATTGCACTTTGGGAAGGGCAGGCTAATGACACCCTGCAAGCAATCAGAGTGCTTCTAGCGGACAAGGCAGTGCTCTTCTGCACCACCGTCCGTCCGGCAAAATCTCAGGCCAAGGTTACCAGAGCATGGACGCAGGTACATTCGGTGGAAAGGGTCATCAGACTGCAAACTATGATTTATTCAAAATGCCGGGCGCAACTTAGCAATCTACAAGCCCACACTCTACTGGAAAAATATCTCTGGATGGAAAAAAGTCATCTGAAGGCAAGCACTGCTGTTGCCGATCCGAATGCCTGGGGACAGAGAAACTCCACGCTTCCGTGGTTTTGGTCTCTTGATGTACAAGGTGATTCTGTTAGTAACGATTGGATGAATGAATGTGAGTCACCGTCCGAAGCTCATCATGACTGAACATTAACCGAAAATAGTCTATAGGGTCCACTGGCTTCGGGCAAAGGCTTTGCGTGACCGATGGTCGGAAGAACACTTGCTCATTGAGCATGAAATGGGTTGGACCTTACAGTTTTTCCTCCACAAGGCAAGTATGTGGTTGTCATGTATCACTCGCAACGGCGATTCACTGCCAGAAGGTCACAAATGTTATGCAATTCGGCAGGCTCACATGTACCACAAATTGGCCAAACATGCATGTGTAAGCTTTCTCAAGGCAAATCCAATGTTCAAGGTCATTGTTTAATTGCCGAGAGTGTGGTGTATTTCATGGATCAGAGTAACGGTCATAAATAGCCACATTATGTGTTTTTTGCATACAAAGACATCCCAGAATATGAGCCACATTACCGGATTTGAGTTTTCAAGCTCCGACAACACATATAAACAATGTGTCCAGGACCAGTTTCATGGCAGTCCTCCTATTACCACTTACCATGACTGACCAAACTCGCGCACTCTACGAGTCTGTCGCCGGCTCATTCTCAGTCTGGGATGCAGCCCATATATTTGAATACACCACCTCCAGATTCACCGCTATTCATCTCACACAGCTGGCGGAGCCAAACCCAACAGGTTCCTATCAGTACTCGTTTGTTCAACACCTCATCTGGGAGGCAGAGGTAATTCCATTTCGAAAGATCGAACAACTCTACTGATACCGACTTCCAGCGTTTTGTGATACCTTTCGTCAGCAAGTGTGCGGCGATGAACATCAATAGCAGCATGCCAGTTTATCTCAGCAATGTCCTCCTCCACATAACAGATTTTCAGACAGAAGACCAAAACCATAGAACACTCTTTGAGAGATTCAGGGACTGTCCGCACAACAAGGATGGTAATGCAGTAGCTCAATATCAGGTTGTTCCGCGCTACCGCTACTGCTGGTGGGGAACCCCATTTCATTTCACGGCTATGCAAATGCCTCTCCGGCTCTCAGTAGCTCAGGTGAGCGAGCTCACAGCTGATCATTTCAAACAGCGGGTAAGCGATGTTCAATCTTGTCCAAATTATAATTGCATTGACAGACAATCAGCCAGCCTTAGGTTTGCTCATACCGGAACCGATTACTCATCCGCGCATGGATGACCCGCTCCTTCAACAACTTCATGTTCTATGGACTGAAGTCGCCCGGCTAGGTCTAGACCTCGGACACATGCTGGTTGCAAAACTTGAAGCCACAGGAGCGGCGGTCGATGCAATGAACCATCTTGAACAGCCTCTCGATGAGGTCTATGATGCTATGGCTGCCTCTCAAGTGGCGGTGGATGTGTTGGCGGAAGATTATAACAATGGCCAGATTGGAACATCTCCCCGTGGAGATCCATTTCCTGAAATGCATCCCTTTGTGTGCAAATGAGGGCAGCCGCGATGTCCAATAGTTACGGAAGTGTATGGATATAGGTAGCAAATGAGTCTGGTATATGTAAATATTACATGAGATATGTCCGGTAGCTACTTGTGTTTTACAATTCAATGACAAATGCCATTGCCGGATGCCAGAGCGTTTTGATATTACGTTTAAATCATTGCTGCCGCTAGGTTTGTTACATCATCAGCATGGAGGCTGCTCGGCAAATATTCACTTAAGATGCAACCCATGCTCACACACCATCCCTTTTGTCTCCATCATGATATCCCATGAGTATTGGGCGGCCTACCATGAGAAACTGGCTGCCCTTGATCTCGACACTCACCCGACATCATTTATTCCACAGGATTGGGCTCTCAATGCTGTTGACATAGCTAGCGAATGGGTGGAGCAGCAGTTCGCAGCTCATGTTGCTGGCAGACCCCTTGTTCCTGCTCCTCCGGAACTTGATCCGGAAACCATGCTAGCATGCGGACACCTTGCGTTCGTGCTCGCAGAGGCGTATCAGCATCCCAGTGAGTTCAGCGCTGTATTATTATAACATTATCCTGATGTGTGAAGTCAAACTGGATATCAATATCATCCGGTACAATGAGGCATTGACCAAAAGAGAGTCGGGACTGAATGATGCTCGTGAAGAAGCTTTGTTGGCAAAGTTCCCTCCCTCCAAGCCCATTCTGTTGGATCACCCATCGGTGGTAATTGACGCTGGTTGCAGAATCATACTATGGTATCTGCCGGGTGCACTGAACTGGTCCCTGCAGGTGAGCGGAGGCACGCAAAGATGTCCGATATCACTGACAGAAGGTATGGGCAACCTGTTGCAACATAGCATCACCACCAGCAAGACATCGACCGGAAAGACGACGAAATGGAGGACAAACACTTCAAACTTTCACCCTTCAAAAGAACCCGGTCTAATACCCGGGTGTATCAATCTTTCACCTTGCTGGTTTCAACAGGGGCATGAGGTGAGACTAAGCTTGCCCAAATCATTGCGCGCTGAATGTAGGCAGTGTCAAGGCCGGCCACTGCAGAATCCGTTGGATGGGTTTATTCCAGAAGTCTCTGCCGCCTTGAAGGGCGATAGCGGCATGTCATCGATTATAGATATGCAGCGTCCGGCTCTCTTGTCATCGGCTGCCCTTTGGGTCATGCACCCACAACTTTACAGGGCATTAATGTCCACTCACGTAGCACTCGGGCATTGGGCGGCAGTGCATGGTGAAGATCAGATGTACCGATGTCTCCAGCATTGCGTGTCAGCATATTCCGGCGCTTCCATCGTTTGCAACAGGCAATCACCCGGTCATTGTGATCCCAAATGTCCTCCAGAGGGATTTGACATTCTTACTTGCATAGGAAGCTATAAACATGTGGTGATGAATTTGACAAACTTGGGTATCGATTTGTTGTATAATCTGGGAGTCATGGTCAGTTATTCTGGCCGGCTTGTGAGGCACAGTGTCCAGGTGGGGGATGGTGACCGAATTGTGTGGGCATGGTTTATGCGGGACAGCGTGCACAACTATGCTGGAACCCCACATACAGAGTTTGCAAAATACAGCCTGGCCGACTTTGCTACATACCACCTAGCTAGATACAATCAGGCTGATTTTGTTCGGTACCGAACATGATCCTGTCGGTAGTTCTGACATTGCATTCTTAGCCTCGGTTGTATATCGATTCTTTAGATACTACGTTGTTGCCGGGACATGATTCATAGGCTGATGTTTGAGTGGCTAGTCATTGATCTGGGAGCTTCATTCGATGGAAAACGGTCATCCGACATGGCGATTGGCCACAACCGGTCCATTGCATTTATATCGGGGAATATATGCAACAGCATTGGCCAAGCAAATCAACATGAGCCGGATACATTGTCGGTGCAATTATACAATTTGTTCATTGGCCAGGTCACTTTCAGCAGTCAACATAATTACAATTCTGATATCTACTTGTACCGTCACCCGGAATGGGACACCTATTTATGTAGCCCTACCACTCCTTTCACAAGTTGCAATCATGTTGTCCAGTTGTTCCATGATCCGACGGTGTACATTAAGGAAATGGTGAACAGTTGCAATGTCCTCACTTAGTTCAGTCACTTTGATCACTGCGTCCATGTATTTCCCCAGACCATCTCGATTCGACGTCTGTGTCAATGCTGGCGTGTGGTCACGGTCAACCTCGTCGGTTGGCAGTATGTTGTTCAGGTATGAATTGACTGCCATTATGTCAATCGTGAGCAATGCCAGATAAGGATACTCACCACCCTCATGCCAAATACTGTGTAGGTGTGTGATGGCATGTTGCATAGAAAGTTCCGCATGTTGGAAGACTTTGTTTTCATTTCCTGCATGCCTGCCCTGCATACCTGCACAGCTTCAAAAGTCATAATGCAACCATGTGAAGGATGACTCACCTACTGGCATACCGGACAACACAAGGTGAACCATATCGTCACTGCCTGTCACAATTGGTTCAATCTCTCTGCCGTCCCATCCGCAATCATACGGGTCCTCGGCCACCGATGGGTTTACATCCCCACAGTGCTGTTCTTCCATCACCGCTGGGGATAGCTTGTCGGTATCCATCGGATCACCCTATCCGCAGTCATATTGATCCTCCACTGACTCACCCATGGATATTCGATCATCTTTTGGATCATCCCACCCACAGTCATAGGCATCAGCGGGTGACTCACCGGATTCCATGATACATTGATGATCCATCGGGTCATCCCATCCGCAATCATACAGATCGTCCCTTGACTTACCCGTAAGCGTGATACTGTCATCATGCATCAGATCGTCCCATCCACAATCATAGGCATCGGCCACCGATTCACTTGAACCGGCGATGCCTAAATTATGGCCAGGATGGCCTCATTCATTGGCATATGGATCCTTCACCAACCCCTCCGAACTAGGATTATCCCACCCACAGTGGTGCGGATCCTGGTCGTTGCTTCTGGTGACGTTGGTAGTGTGTCCTGGTGGCAAGACCCTGTGTACTGTCATGTCAGAGGTCCGCATGCTTTCCAAAAGATACATATCTTTGGACCGTTAGAAAAGAAAGGAAGATTGAAGTAAACGGGAGGCTCACCGGACAGCATGCTTCTGACTTCATCACAGTGGCCGTTGAAACATAGCTCATATACTAAGCCACACCATCCGGTACAACAACATCATCATCGTCCTCTGGAACTTCGGCACTGGTCTCATTTACAACACCACCTGTTGTGGCTGTATCTACTTCAGCTCTTCCTTCCGGAGACATAGACTGTGCGAGCAAATCTGCAGCACCGGCAATAGAACTGTTGCCATTGTCACCATCCCCATTCTCACAGGCATTGGAACCTCTGACCCCCCTTCCTGTTTCAGCTCCAATCCCGCTGAAATGCAACCTTTTTGTGCCAGGCACGAAAAATGCAGTGAATGCGATTCCAAAGGTCGGCAATGGTAAGAAGAGATGGGCGGAAGATGACCACCCAGTAGAGGCTAAATCAGTCGACATTTCTAACTCGACTTCCCGGTCACGGAAGTCTGTTCCGAAGAGGAACAGGTTAATGTCAGATGATGAAGACAATGATACTACCAAACCATTTCTGACGCAGGTGAGTCCTGCTTCTTTCGTTCGGCATAGCTGACTCACCAGATGATTATCTTCCCTAAGGTGGTACCATCACCGCTCATCACCAAAGAGAATTTGGCACTGGCACATCCGGATTACTCGGAAGGAACAGATGATAGGGGTTTCTGGAATGCAGAAAGCAGGGTAAGTGTTTTTATTGTGCTAACCATACATTTTGACTCGGGTGTTTATCAGCCTGTTGAATGGGGCCAGGACTCTGATATCGCCACGGCAGTGAAGGTAACCTCATCATTATTTGCATGAAAAAAAAATTAACGCTAGGATGTTTGAAGTATTCTGTTCGTCATCACCCGCAGAAATGCGACAAGTGCACCAAATTGGGTGTGGCCTGTCTTGTCCTCCCAGATAAAAAGTTCAGATGCATTCGACTTGCCTGCACTAATTGCAATGATATGAAGATCACATGTGCGATCAACGGAGTTGGCGTCTGGGAAAGAATGCAGGCAAAGGCAAAGGCCAAAGCGGCAGAAGACACCTGCAACCCTGTCAGACGCTCCAAGTCATGTGCCCCCAAGTCCCGAGTTGTGAACAATGCTCCGGTCAATACCAGGTCCCGGAAGACTGTGATGCCGCCAGCTCTTTCCTCTTCGGAAGTTGAGCCTAACATCATTGAATGTGCAGGTGAATGTTTTCATTCTGCAGTTGGTACTTGAACTGAAACTGATGTAGACTCTGCGCCGGATGCTAACCCATTGTGCGTTGATGTTTCACCGGTTCACACAGAGGTTCAACTGATGCCTACAATGTGCCCATCGGTGCACGCTGAGGCAGAAGTGCCGCAGGCAGTCAATCCCGCGGAGCCCGAGCCAACTGCGAGGGACATCCTGCAGAGCATCCAGGACCTCGGAAGATGGCTTGATCTTCTCGCCACCAATGAAAGGGTCGATGAGTTGGATGCAAGACTGGGTCCGGTGGAAGATATCTTCGGGCAGCGATTGAGTGCACTTGAGCAATGTCTCAATTCATCAGATACAGAATGGAGAGCAATGTCAGCTTCCGTTGGCCATTTAACCATTGCTCTCCACGACCATAAAGATGATCTGACTGCACACCGTTCCCGGATCAACACTACCGCTTATGCCCCCCCTACTCATGTAAATGCACACCTCCCGGCCTGGCTCGCTCAAAGTGATGAAGACCCGCACATCTCAGTACTGACCGTCACTACTGACAAGGTTGTTCCACCAGGCGATGAACAGGGTTTCTGGGACGCAGAAACTCGGGTATGTGATCTGCACTCATCCATAGCGCTGGTATACTGACCAATTTCAAAGCCTACAGAATGGGGCTCAGATGCTCATATCGCCACTCCATGCCAGGTAAGTCTGTCAGTACATTCACAGGAGTCCACGGCTAACATATGTCAAGCATTCCATTCATTACCATCCTTGGCAGTGCGACAAGTGCACGAAATTGGACATACCCTGCGTTGTCCTTCCGGACAAAAAGTTTGGATACACTCGACTTGCATGCACAAATTGTGACCAGATGAAGATCACCTGTGCGATCGACGGCATCGGTGTCAGGCAGAGAATGCAAGAAAAGGCGGCCGCGGCTGCATCAAGACACTCCGGAACGCTCATTAAGAAGTCCCGCGAGATCTCCAAGACCCCGGTTAAGAGAACCCTTGCCCAACCCCCTCGGGTTGAACTCAACATAGTTGAAGGTGAGTTTGCTTTCAAATCCGACGAGGAACTTGAAACAAATCCAGATGACTCTTAGAGGAGAAGCAACAGCCTGGCCCGCCGCCTGGTGTGCCCATGCACACAGTCCCAACTGTTGGCACAAGCCTTCGGCCAGAACAGGATGATCAGACTGCGCCAGCCAACATCGCCGATCCCGAGCCAACTGCAAGAGACATCCTGCAGGGCATCCGGGACCTCAGCAAGAGATTGGATCTCTTCGCCACCAATGAGCGTGTGGACACCATGGAGATAAGAGTGCATTCGGTGGAGAATATCCTCCACCAGCGGTTGAACGCACTGGAGCAACACCTCAACGCCTCGGATGCCCGGTAAAGCGCATTGTCGCCACCTCCAGTGTGTAGAATGAACTAGTTTCCAATACCATATATATTGTACTTTTAGCTACTCTTTTCGTGCTGTTCTCGGTCACTTTCCCTTGTATTCCGGTTCTCGCTTTATGTAATTTGTAGATATGAACTACATTATTGTTTCCCTCAATATGTTGTCATCTGTGGTGAGGGAATGCTTTAATTTCATGATGCTCACATGAAGCTGTGACAGCCAATGGCATAATGATCCGGTGTAGATAGTCCATGCAGTTGTTGGTGTATCATTGCTGATGCTACATGCACGGTGCATCCCTCCAACAGGTGTATTAATAAAGTACATACATGACTGCCTATTATCATACCATCTTCCGGAACCCGGTGTCACAAGCTGATCGGCTGTCCGATCATCAGCTGCTTATCGGATTTGCATTGCTGTGCGACTTGTGCGGGTCCGACATCATCATTTATTCCTATTTTCAACTCTTTCCAAGACGCATCCCTATTGACTAAACTTTCACCATGTCACCTTCGGAGACCAAATGCTATCTGTGTCACCGTAATATCTGTCGCCCCTTCCGAAATCATATACGCATGTACCAGGCACTCATAAGCCTTTCTGAGACCTAATGCTTCACTCTTTGGGCCGATCCATAAGACACACTATAGACTGAAACATCACTCGCCAGACCTTCCTGACTTGCTGGGCATATCCGTAGGCCCTTTCGACCAAACACTAATTTACTCGGCCCATCTGTCACTCGTTCCGACATACCTACCGAAAATCCGTAGATGCCCTCTCGCCGGCCACTTGTGTACGCCAGTTGAAAAATAACTAGTATCTGAGACTAAATGTGCACGGACAGCCAACAATGCCTAGCCGAGCCCTTCCCTAACTCACGAGATCAAACACCAGCACTGGGCCTATTCACTCGCAATGAGGATGATGACCTGGCCTTGGCGCACTGCGAGTTGGAAGTCTTCATATGAAGGTGGGAGCAGCAACCATGAGAACGCCGGAAGATCGCGTATCTCAGCTACCACAGTTTCCCATTGCCTTGTAAGTCTCATATATTCCATTGCTGCCCGATCAGCAGCAGCTCTGTCGGTGATGGTTGCAGAACTCTGGGCTGCATTGGAAATGAGTTTGCTCAGCTCTAAATAATTGTGCATCAGTGTTGGATTTACTGACTCGAGGTCTTCGACTGTCCCGAGTTGAAAAGCCAACAGCCCTGCTCCACGAGCTCAATTGCCAGTAGATTGACATGACATATAGCACATGAGGCTGCAACTATGGACAGGTCTATTGCTCTCACAGATCTCAAGATTTTCAAGGATCACTTCACCAGGGCAATACGAGATTCATCTTGGATGAACCCAGGGAGTCGAGGACGGATCTCATAGTGCTCTTGCGGATAATATGGGACCAGATTGTGCTACCTATTGTCAATGTACTCAATCAAGTTCTCAAACTAAAGTGCCACTCTCAAATCTGATTGTGGCCCACTGCAGCTTTCACGTCCATTTCTCCATGCAGCTCACCTGTTTCAAACAAAGGCGGATTGTTCTGGGAAGAAGTCATGCCTGGAGGATCTCTACATTTGCTTTTACACGCCAACACTTTCGGCTCTGATCAGATCTAGACAGTTGATGAAGAAGCATGTGCCTCCGTCTGTTGTGGCGATCAGACAGGGTCAACGGGGTGCAGGGAAAGGCAAGGCACTCTTGGCCATTGACAGCGAGCTTGAGTTGGTAAATAAGCTCGTCCCTGCAATAGCCAAACACACCACTATATCCGGCGACAAAGCCACCTGAACAGGTGCACTCAAAGCCTTGCAGCAGAACACCTGGGTGCACCTTGCTTGTCATGGCAAGCAGGACCCTATGCAGCCTTATAATTCGCATTTCGTCATGAGAGATGAACATCTGACACTGCTCAATATCATGGAGAAACATCTTCTGCAGGCTGAGTTCGCATTCTTATTGGCTTGTCATACTTCTGTAGGCGATGCTGTTCTATCTGTTCCGACCATCCCAAGAATTTTCCATCCTACCCCACACTAGACTCTTCGGCCCACCTTCACCTGCAAGATGCATCTTCTTCGCTTTTTCGAACACTTAAGTTAACTGAAGCAATGTTGAAGTATGTGAGGATGTTGAGGGCCTTGCCACATGATAAACAAAGCTCGCAATCACCACTCCGCCTATCTGGTGGTCTGTATCATATGTTCACAACTCATTCATGTACTACACCATGCCAATATTCAATTTCAACATTCAATCTCCCATTTTCGACTCACGCTAACTGGCTTACACACGTGCACTACTGTCCATGTCTCACTCATGAAGCCTGAAAAAGCACGATATGCTACAAGACAGCCACACCATATATTACGAAAGTCGATATCCCATAGTGTTTCCGATATGACGAGAGGTGGGTCACGAGTTGTCCTCAAAGATGAGAAGCAGGAGCAAATGGAAACTTGCATGTAGTGCTCTGGCGATATATCGCCTATAAACATCTCTTGCTTCTTGACTTTGCCATTCTGGGCACTGCTTTCCTTAGTTGATACAGTAGGGATATCCAGGACAATACATTGTCAATGTCAAGACCTATACAAATGACTTGAATAAATACTGCAATGAAAATGACACTACATAACTACTTGACTCCACCACAGTGAGGCTTGGAATAGAAACAAAAAAACAATTCCCCATGCTCCCTGCAAGCACTAGACAATGGTTCGCACACTGTTCGGATCACTTGTCAAGTGGGGATGTGCATTTGCAGGCATCATTAGTGTCCTTGAACAATCCCAGTTTGAATCCCACTCCCCCTTCTCCACTGGATGCCTATCAACAGGTTAGGTGTGCGGAAGTGACTTTCACGCAAAGGTCTGATTGATAAGTTCACTGATGTCGAAATTCCAGATCTTCCCTTGGATCAACCGCTGCTATTGACTTCTTTAATAAAAAAGGAGCATTATTCACCTAGTTACGCTTGACATCAACTCAAATTCTTGTCGATCATTTGCTCTCAGCATCACTCGTAGGGTGACAGAGTTTACCTTCAAAGAGAAGGGCGGGAGAGGAGGAATTTCTCAGTCCGAGAACGCCACTGCACATAAACTGTCTCATTGATTGTCACGCTGACATATGGACTTGTTTCCCTGTTCTTCCTGCCATTCAGCGGGAGACAATTACATCCAGTAACAGATGTCCGCGAACATTGGCATTCATTATAAATCGGGACCATCATTATGTTCTCGCCGCACTTCCACGACCTTATCTACAATTTTGAAAGGATGTCAAAGAAGCCAATGGGAACCATCCTAAAATCAATGACCATCTCTGTCACTACATATTCAGGTTTTCCAATAGTCTCCTTGGAGCTGCAGAATGGAGCGTGTCGAAGTTCAGAGCTGGGAAATCGTTGGTGGACATCCTCTGCCTCATTCTAATTCACATCACAGTGACGAGGGAGAATCATTTCATTCCACTCAAGGATGGTGTATATTCAACCGAACTTGAGAAGTCCCTTGGCGCAGATGTTAACCGCATTGTCAATCACCTGTCTTTTGGTTGGTATGAATCTTTGTTCCAGTCATACATGGCGCAAAAGGTGTGATATATGAATGCCTCAAGTCGAGCGACACTGACTTTATCTGGTGCCATCTTCAAGCCGGTCAAAGTTGTGTTGTCCATGGGCAAACAATTGGTGGGGAAGAGCTTTTCCTTAAACCATCTTGTGAATATGTCATTCGCAGGATTGGCCATGCATACGACAGAAGGGGTCTGGATGTTAGTAACACCGACTAAAGATGCTCTTATTGTTGCTTTGGATTTTGAAGGTATGTTGAACCAAACCATCAGTGGATGTTTCATATTGATATCTTTGTTTAATAGGTGTTCATAGTATTGAGCATTCTGCTCAAGAAGATACATTGCTTGTGCTATTCAATACTGCGAACTCTAACTTAGTTTGCTGCCCACTGTGTGTTTCTCATGGTTGCATGACATCCTTTATGTAGGTGCTATTCTGGAACAACTTCGCCTTGAGCCGACACATCACAGGCTTATTCCACTTGTTCCAATCAAGCTCGACTGTCCTCGACCCAGCATCTAACCTGAGTCTATTTCAATCAATGCTGGCGATCATAATTAAAGTACTTTCTCATTTCTTGAAATTTATTTTTCATGTGTTTTGACATAAACCTCATCTGTCAGGTGTTGGGCAGACACATCCACATTGACTACTGTCGCGCCTCAGATGCCACTGCTTGCACAGGGAACAATGAGGTTCAGCATATCTCTAAGTGAATGTTGCCTAACCTGGAACATGCCAAGGACTTCATGACGCACAATCTCTTTTGGCGGCGGGCCGGTGAGTAATTCTATGACTATCATCCTGGGCGATGATACATGGTCCGCAGGCTTCAAAGATCCCTATTCTTGGGAGGAGCAAGCAAATTTCGCCAAGTGGTGCATATCAAATACTCAAAGTGCAGTAACATAACTGAATTCATATTCTTGTTAGTGACTCAATGTGTAGCAGTATGGTTCGTTTGTGCTTGTCCTATTGGTGATTTACTGTTTTGCCAGGCCCCGAGCACACTGCTGCAGCTGGAAATGCTGCTCAGCCATCCTATTGCACCTTACCTTTGTGTCACCTGCCAATGGATCCTAACAATGACCAAGTCGGTTTAGGATACATTTCCAATGACGGACATCTCTTCTCATGTAGGAATCCCATGATTATGCAGCAAGCATTCCATGTGTCAGTGGTCAGCTAGGTTCAGTTACAGTGATGTTAATTAATACACATCCAGAATCTTGGTAGCTGATAGGTGTGAGACAGTGTTTGCTTGGTTGCTATTGCTATTGCTAATTGTTAGTAGATCTGGCTCCATGGCCTCTGGTCCCTCCCAAACATGCCTGCTTCAGATAGAATTGTGTGACACTCTAACAACTGGTTTGGTGCCGTGGTTTCTTCCCTGTGTAGCTTCTGGTCTGCCTGTGTGTGCTGTAGCAATTGGTGGTCAACAAGCAGCCAGACATGACTCATACAATGTTATTCTCTTTGATCATTCCATTACGAATGCCCTCATACATGATTTTGTCAGTTCTCCAGACCAATTACTTCATGCCATTTTGTGTTATGAGGCTGACGGAGGTACGAACTTCACTGAAGCAATTCAGTGGGCTCAATCAGTCATGGAACAACATTGGAGCACGGAGAGGTGCGTCGGTCTTCCCATACACACATCTAAGATCCTTAACATGGCTTTTAGGAGTCCTATAATCATATTGGATTGCAAAGCTGCAACACATTTCAAGGGAATCCATTTCATCCCAACTACCTCCCACCAGGAGGATCTTGGCCCTGTAGAGCTTGCCCAAAACAGGGTTCAACGGGTCCTTCTTAAAAACCATCGCATACATGTCCATGGCAAACACAAGAGAATACGTGTACCTGGTTATCATGTTCGCCCGCTGAGGTGTCAGTTTCAGTCGGTGGCCCATCAGAATACAACGATCACATGACTCACCTGTAGTAACCTGCATCATAGCCCCCAACGATATGTCCAAAAGTGCCTTGGCCTGGCTGGGCTTTACTCCCTTTCACGAGCGATATCGATTCACATAGGTCATTCCAGAGTTAACAACCTGACAATTACGTAGCGACTGTGATAGTCATCCAAACTTTTATTCTCGAAAACTTCAAGATGAAACACACCTCCTTATCAGCTTATCTATCAATTTTGGCGACAGCGGCTTCTGTGTCTCATAGTGGCTAGACATTTTCTCGAGCACTTCACTAGCATCTGAGAACATTTCGTCGCCAGCATCTGACATAGTTGGGGTCTCAAAACGAACACATTGCTTAGGCATGATCATTTGCGTCAAAATGAAGTTGGAGAGTATGATGATAAATATGTGCCAAGATATACTTTGATATGGACAACCGACTGTGGCAATTGAATGCATGGAATAATGATCAATGACAATTTTCTATTTATGTCATAATTACATTCATTGTTCTACACCACCATGCTTCTATGTTGGCCATGTGTTCTTGGAAACAGCCAAAACTGACATATTGGTATGAATCCCATCTCTGAGTTGCATTCCTCTTTCCCTTCTGCACAGCTTTACCCCATTATCAACTCATCAGCATTTTGCATCTAGTGCTATAACTCCTTCCAAAGCAGATGCTGCTCTTAATGACACATTAGAGGATGTGCAATCACTTATAAAGCAATGTATGAAGCTGAAGGAGGGGAATTCAGCGGTGGGGTTGGCATTATCAGATGAGATTGCTAGACACATGGTATGTCTGCTGCTGACATACCTTTGGGATCACATATACTGTTCTGGTGGGAGCTTGGTCTTGGTCTTTATCTGATAGGAATTTCTTCTTCCTTTTTTGCCTCGGTTTCGAGGACCGGGAGGGCAACTCGGGTGCATCAGTCATAACTGCCTCGTTAGCATCCTCCTCTGCCACTTTTCTCTTCTTACTATTGCCAACCTGTGGCGTGACCTTTGCAGGTTTCTTCTTCATGCCAGCCACAAAGAGACTGTGTTTGACGGGAGCAGCAGGAGGTACTGAAATGTCAGTAGATGTTTGCGGCTCTGCAGACTGTGGTGGGGGAGATACTGGCCTGGATTGAGTGTCCGGTGAGGTGATCGGAGCCAGATCAGCAAGAGAGCCAAGACCGTGGGCAGCAGTGTGAATGTGTCATTTGTGGACAGGTGGATAGACATAGGTGCATGCGGGGGTTCAAAGCAGGTAGAAGCCTCAGCTGCAGCGGAACTGCTGTAGCCCATGGTCTTGTCAAATCGGGGGTGGCTCTTGATCCTTGGGTCATTGTTAGACACAGAGGTCCAGTTGGGGACATGCTGAAAGGCACTGCCCTTGGAGTACTGCTGGATGATGGCAGCACAGGAGAGTAGCTGCGGAGAAAATGATGTTGCAAGAAATTTGAAGTCAAAGAGAAATAAAACTCACCATGCACCTGGCAATGTCATCCAATAATGTCAAAGTCTCTGGATCACCCTCCTTCAACTTCATGCAACACTTGATGAGCGGTTGCACGACCCTCAGAGTGGCGTTCAGGGCATTGTTAGCTGCCTCGGAAGGTGTTATAGTTGATATTGTGAAGCAATTGTAATGTAGATATGGAAGAGGGAAATTTGGTGGTTGGAAAACTTGTACAAGTGCTGGGTTTTATATCAACCCATGGGTTGTGGTCATTTCCGAGAATTGTGGAAGCTCAGAAATGTTATATGAAGCTATGGTATTCAATGGCATAATACTCTAGTGTAGATGGTTCATGCGGTAGTGACAATGAAAGTTGTGTGACTCCTGACTATGGAACAAGAATGCGGCCGATGATTGTTTTGAGAGTTATGACGTAAAATGTATATTCTGGTTAGTTGGCCCATCCGAGATTAAATGCATATTCTCTTGGGCCAAAAATCACTGGCTGGGCCCATCCATAAGCCCATCCAAGACTACCCAGCATGTATACTGGGCCAAACAATAGATGAGACCATATGTTACTCCTCCAGGCGGGATCATATGCATATCTGGTGGGCCGAAAAAAACTGGCTGGGCCCATCCATGACCCCTACCAAATTCAAAACACCAGCCTACCCCCTTACCTGTATCTTATATCCACATCATCCATATATTCACATACTGCAGTGAATCATACCCGTATCTTACAGTTAGCCCAATGTGACAATCACCCATACTATACAAGCCATCCCATGTGAGCCCATGAGCATATTTTAGAGGTAATATATGGCTGGGCCTTATAATAGGTATATTGTAAAAGTAATACATGGCTGGGCCCATGGTGCTAGTTGGCCTCTTGGCTGGTCTATGTGGTCTCTCGGCTGGTCATAAAATTAAAATTTTGGCTGATTCATATTGAGTCTTGGCCATGGCAAAAACATCAGCCAGTCCATATGGTGCCTCGGCCAGCCATGACACCAAAACATTGGCTGGTCCATATTGGGTCTCGGCCATGATAATAAAACATCAGCTGGTCCATATGTTGCCTCGGCTAGCCATAATACCAAAATGTTGGCCGATTCATATTGAGTCTCAGCCATGATAATAAACATCGGCTGGTCCATATGGTACCTCAGCCAGCTATAATACCAAAACATCAGCTAGTTCATATTGAGTTTCAGCCATGATAATAAAACATCGGCTGGTCCATATGTTGCCTTGGTCAGCTATGATACCAAAACATCAGCTGGTTCATATTGAGTCTCAGCCATGACAATAAAATATTGGCCGGTCCATATGGTGTCTTGGCCAGCCATGACACCAAAATGTCAGCTGGTCCATATAGTTCCTTCCTTGGCCAGCCATGACACCAAAACATTGGCCGGTGTGAAAATAACAATCCTGCTGGGCAGCAGGAAAATGTTGGGTCTTGCTATGCCTAGCTGTGGTGTCAGAATAGACTGTGTTTGATCCAAGAGAATCTCTGTCTAAACTCAGGCTTAAGAGAGAGAGGAAACAAAGAAAGAGAGTGAAAGAGGCACTCCAAGCTAATGACAGAACACTGAGTTCCAGGAGCTAAGTAGTGAGCTGAAAAAGCTACAACTAAGGAATGCTACTAAATAACCCAAGTTTATGAGGAGCCATCAAGAACTGGAAACTGGGGAAACTAGGTAATGACTGTAGAGTCCTAGGTGAAGGTAGAAGATGATTATATAAGCAGCAAAATGCGGACATAATCTAAGAAAAGTGTCAGGAAAAGATGCTACATAAACACCCTCAATTACCACTAGTGGAGAGTTGAGTGACACATCTCATGGGGGCTTTGAATACTGACTGTCCTCAGTCAGTCCATCACCAAGAAACAGAAAAGACTGCCAAGGAAAGTGCAAATGGTGAATATCTTCAGTCAAAATCACCTTCTCCAAACACTTAATCTCTCCACCAAGTCTAGCAAAACACCCATCTACTCTCTCTGCAACTTCCTAAAGACAGTCAAGGATGAGATGGAGGATAGAATTCAAGGTAGGCATGGATGAGGACTGAGATGGAGGAGATGGAGGAGGAATAGATGAAGGATGAGCAGGTAGTGGTGTTGGAGTGTCTACAGACTAGCTGACCAAAACACCATATGAACCAGCTGATGTTTTAGTGTCATGGCTGGTCGAGGCACCATAACAATCTCCCTCAGTCATATGTATAACAGACTGAGGGGAAAAGGAAAAATAATATGAACCACTATAGCATCGCAGTTGTCATGTGTATGCAACGTGCGCCAAAATTATGAAGCAGAATACTGTAGCTGACTGTATGGAGGCAACTGGGGGTCGAGCGTGACAGGTTGCCACATTTGGCAGGTAAGCAACCAGGCAGTTCACGATCGTGACATGCCAAAAATTAGCAACTGTCAACATCCTGGCGCCGCATGTCATCGCGGAAAAACTTCCTACAGTATCAGCTGACGAGCCTTAGTAGTTATTTTTCGTACCAGCGTGACATATAAACTCATAGCAACTCGACGTCCGTGATGCGTGACCCGGTTCAAATTAGCAACGCAACCAGCTCTGCGTGACACATGACAGTTGCTTCCATACAGTCAGCTACAGTATTGTGCTGACTGTTGGAGGTGAGCCAGTAGGGAGCTGATCATGCAGCAATTGCAGCATCTCAATGGCTCATGGTATTGGTATCATACTATCGGTTACCACAACTTCAGACTGCCGCTGGTTTGGACAGTCACAAAATGTAACAGAGTAGTAACACAATGTCAGATCCTGATATGTGGTGAAGAAGAATGTGATTTGAAGTAGAGTTGAGTGAGATATAACAAAGTGTCCGAACCAGTGGCAGTCTGAAGTTGTGGTAACCAGTCATTGAGTGCGGTGCAGTATTTGATGTCACATGAAAATGATCATGTGATGGTTCAAAATGTGGTTCAATTTCAACTTCCGCTTCATACATTCTCTTCCCATTCTACTTCCTTTGTTACAAATCTTCTCACATCACATTGTCATAGCTCCTTATGGGGGTATAGAGCTGTTGCTCTGACATCATGTGAGAAGTGACACTTGTGTCTAGCTCCTTTATGGGTGCATATGGCTGTCGTCAACAGTCGCATAATGTGTCTGTCTCATTTGTGTCACTCTTGCATGTGTCCCATCTCCTCTCTTTTCCTATCCTGTTTTCATCACTCTTGCATGGGTCCCATCTCATTGCCATAGCTCCTTATAGGAGTTTTGAGCTGTTGCTCTGGCATGGCATGTTGGGCAACTCTCGTACGTAGTGCCTTTATAGGTGCCTGACTGTTGTTGACGGTCATGCGATGAGTCTGTTATGTTCATATCACCATTCGACATGTCACCTCTCCTTGCTATGTCTGCCACGTTCACATCACTCTTGGACGTGTCCAATTTCCTCTCTTTTTCTGTCCTGTCTGTGTCTCTCTTGGACGTGTCCAATCTCCTGCAGACCCATAGCAGAATTGAGTTATTGCTCTGGAGATGAGCATTCCAACAAATATAGAGCCTGTTCGGCAACCGTGATTTGAGCCAAAATATGATTTCGAAGTGACGCAAGAATCTCAAATTTCAAACGGAGTCTGAAAGTGAACTCATAATGTTCGTTGTATGATAAGATCAATATCTATCTCAATGAATCTAGTACCTGTACCAGGTCTTCAACCGCTGTTTCCTCAACCACTGTTGATCCCACAGGATCACCTTATACCTCCACAGCTAATCCAACCACCAGATGGAACACAGCCAGCACGAGCAGCAGTCCGCCAGCGCATCCTTCGTCATATCACATTGATTGTCAGCATGCTTCTGGCTATAACCACACAGATACTCTTCTTAGAGATACCAGATGAACCGGAACCTTACCACACATCAGCCTTATCTGGCCAAGAGTGGGTCATTGAACTTGTTATTGGCCATCCAGAACGGATTCACTGTGAGCTCGGCATCCATGCACATGTATTCGAGCGTTTGATCATTGAGCTTCGCACTCTCGGTCACGTGGACTCGCGCTATGTCTCTCTAGAGGAGCAACTTGCAATATTTCTATACTTGTGCGTGACGGGACTCACAGTACGACATGTGGGGGAGCGATTCCAACAGTCAAACGGCACAATTTCTCAGTAAGTCCTATATATATTTCGATTTTGATGCTCAATACTAACATTATCATAGCTACTTTTGAAAGATGCTCAATATTTTCTCGAGCCACCCGTTTTACACCACCCATGTCCATCTTCCCACTGCCGACACGCCAGTCTCCACGGAAATCCGCGATAACCCAAAGCGTTGGCCCTATTTCAAGGATGCCATCGGAGCGATTGATGGGAGCCACATACACGCCTTTCCTCCTGCATCTGAACACCACCTCTACCATAATCGCAAAGGGTTTGTATCCCAAAACTGTCTCTTTAGTTGCGACTTCGATCTGAAGTTTACCTATGCGCTTACTGGTTGGGAAGGATCTGCTACTGATGCACGTCTCTGGGATGAGGCACACGAGGGGGGCTTAAAACTTGCGCCTGGCAAGTACTTTCTTGCCGATGCCGGCTTCCCTTCTCGTCCAGAGCTCCTGATACCTTATCGTGGAGTTCGTTATCATCTTACGGAGTGGGGGCGGGCGAGTGTGAGGTAAGCTTTGGTTTTATTCAAACATGTATGCAATTAACGGTTATTTTTCAGGCCGGTGAATAAAGAAGAGCTTTTTAACCTTCGTCATGCGTCTGCACGCAATGTTATCGAACGAATTTTCGGCGTCCTGAAGAGACGCTTTTGCATTCTATTGATATCCCCAGAATATGGGATGGAGATACAGGTGCGCGTCCCTGCTGCACTCTGTGCTATCCACAACTTCATACTCACTCATGATCCGGGCGAGGGACCTCTGCCACAAGCCGCCATCATCAACGACAACCCTGCAAATCAAGGACAGCCTCACTCGGACAGTACTAACTCTGAGCCTGAACTTGAAGGTGGGAATGTAGACGCATATGCGAATTCAAACACGTTCCATGATCATATAGTGACACAGATGTGGGA